GGGGGTGGCAGAACTTGCAGGCTTGTGTGAAGAAGAACTGGGAGAAGAGGATTGCCTGGTTTTCTGTAGGCTTGTTGGTGAGGGTGGAATTTTGGTTGTTTGTAGGATTCAGGTTCTGTGGAGGTGGGAAGACCAGAGCCAGTAGTTTCCCTCTCTCCAGGCAAGTGGTGGCAAAGTGAGGAATGAAGGGAAAGAAGCTGCTCATTAACTGCATTCCTGCTGGGCCGAGGAGCAGCCTGACTGGGGAAACCCCGCCCTTGCTTCTTCCCAACCTCAGGTGAGTGGGGACGCAGTTGTAGCAAATTGGAAGTTAGTTCCTCCTATGGAAACTCATCTCCAATTTCCTGTCACCCAGTTATGATTTTGAAAGCTGTTGCAGTACCAGAAAAAAAGCAATTGAACTACTTTCTCCTCCATCAGAATAACAACAAAACCAGAAAACACAGATTTCAGGCACAAGAATTCTTTACTCAGCCTAAGGCCACTAACCTGGGAATTATTTGTCCCCCTCAGCCCAACCCCTAAAATGACATCTATGAACAGATGTTCAAGATTTTGGATAAATAGACAAATTAATGAAGAGATTACACCCCCTCCCTGGCACGTGGTAGACCTTACTTCAGAAGGAACTCCCTAGTGTTGAGGGCATAAATGACAAAATTAAGGATTCCAGTACAGTTCTTCTTGAATGTGGGAAGATTAACTATGACTGGAAGTCTTGTTCAGCGTGAAGATTTTATTCCTTCACCGTGAAGGTTCAGCATATAGGAACCTTGAGTACTTTGATAGCAGAGGCATGGGGCGGTGGGCTGAGGCCAGAGGTCTAACTGATCCTTAGGGCATCGTAGCTGGGTGTATTCCACTCCTTCCTGACCCCGGCCCTGCTTCAGCTGAAGGGAGGCCTCCTGGCCATTGTGTCCCCGACTAGCTGGCTCTGGACTCTGGTCCCCCTCTCTCCCCAACCTGGCAGTTGCAGCAAGGGGTCCCGCAAGGGCATTTGACCGTACAAATAATTTGTGTGGCTAGTTTCTCAGTTTTCCCAAGATGCTACATAACTAGTGACATTCTGGATGTGTGGAAAAAGTTAATTATGACATATAATGGATGCCTTGGGGGGCATTGGGGCATTCTCATAGTGCTCCAGTTGAGAAAGGCTGGAATAGACATTTGCCTCAGCTGAAAATAGACCTTTGGTGTGAACAGAAAAGCCTGTCTCATTTTTCTCAGCCGAAACACACCCTCCTCCTCTTCAAAGCCTTGCCTAAGATTTACTGCCTCCTAGCGGTCTTTTCTTTCTTACAACCCATGATCCCACCCCCCAGACCTGCTACAGTTGAGCGTCGCTTGGGTGAAAGAGATGAGAGGAAAGAGAGAAAGCTTGAAGTCAGTCAGACCTGGTTCCAATCCTAGCTCTGCTAACTTACCAGCTTCGTGACTTGGAGCAGCTTATGAACTTCAACTTCCCCATTTGGAAAACAGAGATTAAAAGTGATAAAGCCTGACGTTCAGTGTCTGATGTCGAGAAGACTATTTCAGTTACGTGCTACTGTGTAACAAACCACCCTAGTATTTCGGGCTCGAAACCCCAGATCTCATGATTTTACAGTTTGATTTTACGGACAGTCGTGCTAGGAGGACCTGTCTCTACTCCATGACCTCTCTACTCCAGTCCCAGTGGATTGGACTTGACTAGCGCTGAAAGGTCTCAGGCAGCCACACGTATCTAGGGCTATGGTGCTGGCTGTCAGTTGGGATGCTGGGTTGTCCTGCATGTGGCCTCTCATAATTTGGAAATCTGTCCTGAGATTCAACTACTAGACCTCTTAAGGTCTAGGCCCAGACTGGCACAGCATCACCTCCACTACATTCTTTTGGTTAAAGCAGGTCACATGGTCAGCCCAGATGCGAGGGGAGGGGAACAGACCCCAACTCTTTGGGAAGAGCACGATGCCCTTGCTAGCCAAGATGGGGGGAACTGTTGCTGTCTTTTGCAGATGCCATTACAGAATGGCTTTAATATCTTACTTGTTATGAGAATGAAAGCAAACATGTAAGCAAGAGCACCTCACCTTTATTCTTTCCCCAAGGCTTAGTGAGACTCTGCTCCAATTTCTTCAGTGTCTCCCAGCCCTCAAGTCTTAGTGCTTGGTCTTTATTTATTTATTTTTTTTTTAATTTTTTTTTTCAACGTTTATTTATTTTTGGGATAGAGAGAGACAGAGCATGAACGGGGGAGGGGCAGAGAGAGAGGGAGACACAGAATCGGAAACAGGCTCCAGGCTCCGAGCCATCAGCCCAGAGCCTGACGCGGGGCTCGAACTCACAGACCGCGAGATCGTGACCTGGCTGAAGTCGGACGCTTAACCGACTGCGCCACCCAGGCGCCCCTTAGTGCTTGGTCTTTAATTAGCTATGTACGTATATGTGTGTTCTGCTGTCTGCGTCTCTGTGATGGATGTGCATCCTCTTTTCCAACTTATACTGGAAAGATCAGAGAGGAAGAGACCAAGTCATATTCAGCACCTCTTTTAGCACCAGGCACAGGATAGAGTTGAACTTAGCTCTGTCATCGACTCTAAACAAAAGGACAGTGTTAGAAACCTCTGTGGAAGAGAATGTGGATATAAGAAGAAAGAGGAGGGGGCACCTGGGTGGCTCAGTCAGTTAAGTGTCTAACTCTTGATTTCAGCTCAGGTCACGATCTCACGATTGGTGATAGAGAGCCCCGTGCCGGGTTCTCTGCTGACAGTGCAGAGCCTGCTTGAGATTCTCTCTCTTTCTCTCTCTCTGCCCCTCCCCTATCTGCACATACACACTCTCTCTCAATAAACAGACAAACAATTTTAAAAAACGGATTCCAACTTTCTAAATGGGTTTCCCATATAGAAAGGCTCAAACAGATGGACACTTATGCACCAAGGATCCATACGTTTATTTAGATTAGTCCAAAGCAGATGTTGTGCTGGAGCTGCTTAAGGACACAATCTCCCCACAGTCAGGCTTCCTGGAGGCACAGAAAAGAGAGGGTATGTTGTGGCTCTAACAGCAAACAACCAGTGCACACCCAAGACGCTGAGGCAATTCTCCTCACGGTCCCTGGGTCCCGTGCTATGAATTCTCTCCTTACCCTGCTTTGTTGCTGTGTGCTGGCTGAGAGAGAGGTAACAGGGCAAGTCCCGACACAATATAACATTAACACAGAGAGGGAACTAAGGCATGGCCAGAGAGCTATCTTTGCAAGCCAACTGGCAGAGAGAGCTCTCTTGAGAAATCTGGACCTTTAATGCGTCCCTGAGGGTTTCCATTTGATCTATATCAATGATGGCCTCAAATAAATGGCATCTGGGATGGTGTTCATTCTGTTTTCGTCAGCCAGGAACTGCAAGTCCCAGGAGACATTGGGAACTGGTTCTCCCTAATTCTCCCATGAGCTGCTCTTTCACCCCACTCATTAGTTCATGCACAGCATTTCTACTGTGAGTGATTTAGAATCTGAAGAAGCTATCAAATTTTAAACGATGATCTGAGTTGTCCTTTGCCAGTAATGTGCTGCTTGGGACCACATACCCGCATGTTCAATTATTACTGACCTATGATGATAATGGTGGTTTTCTTCTCTCAGAAGGGAAGGAGTCCACAAACTTCAAAGTAAAAAACAAGCAAATGAATCTGTTTCTTACCATGCTTATGACACGGTGGTAGAAACAGTTAGCAGGAGCAGCTTCCTGTCTCTTTTTCCACGCTGCTGCCGCTTGGTGGTGGTGACCCACCTCTACTCCTCTACTCTACTGGCTGTTCCCTTGATGCCTTTTCTTATAGCACCTGCCCACCTCCCTTCCACTGAGCCCCCTTACACTCGGATAGATGCTATCACTCCTTTCCAGAGGACCATTAGATTTAATACCTATCAACACTTTGAGTACAGAAAGAGGACATGACAAAAGTAGTACCAACTATGGTAAAGTCCTTCCATGGAGATGATAGTATTAGCTTACAAAAAAAAGTGGTTAAAAGGAAAATAGTTATCAATGACTGCATGGTCGAAAGGCTTAGTTAGGAATACAGATATGTATTCAGATCTGTATTCTGTATACAGATATGTATTCCTAACTAACACTAACAGATTCAACACTAACTGTAAATACAAAATGCTCTATTCAGAAGCCCAGTCCCTCTCCTTACCTTTGTCAGAGTTGCCCTAATCTTCTTTGGAGGCCTCAGTGAGGAGCTGCAAGAATTCAGACATTTCTCAGAGTTAGCATCTCAGAAATTTCTGGGAAACCTTCTTTTTTTAAAAAAAATTTTTTAACGTTTATTTATTTTTGAGACAGAGAGAGATAGAGCATGAATGGGGTGGGTCAGAGAGGGAGACACAGAATCTGAAACAGGCTCCAGGCTCTGAGCTGTCAGCACAGAGCCCGACGCGGGGCTGGAACCCACGAATTGCGAGATCGTGACCTGAGCTGAAGTCGGACGCTTAGCCGACTGAGCCACCCAGGCGCCCCTAAATTTCTGGGAAACCTTCTTGTGGGGCATTGGGAAGGGATATACTTCTCATGTTTTTTGAGAGTTCATTATGTAATTAGGAGTCTACACATGGGGAAGAATAGGGCACGTAATGGCCCATTCATTCCTGATTCATGCTATGCACACTTAGAGAGTGCCCACTGTGTCAGAAACTGGGCTCATCACCAGGGGGACAAGTGTGAATCAGGCTGTACCTGCCCTCACAGTGCTCATGGGTTAAATGAGAAACAAATCAGTAAATAGGCACTTATATAACAATATGTTAAATGCAGTGATGGAGATCTGAACAAGGTGACAGGCAGAGATAAATGAATGAATACTTTAAAAGAAGTATGGGGGCGGGGGCGGTGCCTGGGCAGCTCAGCTGGTTAAGTGTCTGATTCTTGATTTGGGTTCGGGTCATGATCTCATGATCCTGAGATCAAGCCCCACAAGGGGCTTTGCGCTGAGCCTGGAGCCTGCTTGGGATTCTCTCTCTCTCTGCTTCCTGGACTGGGCCGAAGACTGTATAAAAGAAAAATGGTCTGAGTAAGGAAAGGCTTGGGCTCTTTCCACCACAGTGCTGAATCCTCACTTAACCAATACTGGGAATCTTGGGGGGAGCTGATCACCACCTTGTGCTTCAGGTTTCTCCTTTGCAGAATAGAAATAGCCATTCTTTCTATATTACAGAATTGTGCTGGAGAGAAATAAGATATTGGATAATAAAAACGGCCCCTCAAATACATCCTGATGATGACGGTGCCCAGTGCCGAGAGCACGTGAAGGGGAAGCCAACCAAGCCCTTCTCCATGCAGGCTTGTGGCTCTGCCCCTGAATTTTCCAGCTGTGGAGAGAGGGTATGAGTTCTGCCCTTACCTCTCACATCCACCCGACAGTCCACAGATGCCTCCCCCAGGGGGTTAACTGCCTTGCAGGTGTAGATACCCCCATCAAAGGGACCAGGCTTGCGGATTTCGAGAGAGCAGATTCCCAGGTGAGTGAGGGCTCGGTACTTGGGGTTGCCTTGGATATCCATCTTGTTCTTCAGCCAGATGATCTTTGGCTGCAAGATAAAGGTGAGGGGGCCAGCATGGGAGTGGTGAGAAAGTTGCCCATTCCTTACGTTGGGGGAGGGGTTCCCTTACTGGTATCCTCAAAATCCTCCCAGGCTCCTTCTGTTGGTTGAAATGAGCACCTGAAACCTTGCCTTGTTCATCAAGTATTCCTGAGTAGAAAAAAGGTAGGACCTTCTGTTCTTTCCCCTTCCTAAGCACCGGGCCTCAGAATCCCCTCTTTTTTGTATGTTCGTTGTTGAATCATTCATATTCTGTTCCCACTGTTGGCTAGGGAGTCACTGTTGTCCCCTCTGGTTAGAAAGTAGTTTCTAGAGTGGGCTTATTGATACCCTCTTTCTGAGATGTAGTACTCTGGCCCAGGACTCCTATGCAAAAGGTACTTAGTAAGGTTGTTAGGTTTTTTTAAATTTTATTTTAATGTTTATTTATTCTTGAGAGAGAGAGAGAGAGTGTCTCTGCTCAGGGGATGGACAGAGAGAGAGGGAGACACAGAATCCGAAGCAGGCTCCAGGCTCCGAGCTGTCAGCACAGAGCCTGATGTGGGGCTTGAATTCACGAACTGCGAGATCATGACCTGAGCTGAAGTCAGACGCTTACTGACTAAGCCACCCAGGCGCCCCCTTGGTAAGGTTGTTAGTGATGTTTTACGCGGTGTAGTGTACAGAAGTATTGACTAGATCGGAAGTAGACTTGCTCAGGGTTATGGCCTCAACTCTAGACAGCTGGTAGGCATATGGCCCTGAGCAGGTGAGGCGTGGTGGGTGACTAAGGAGAAACCAGCGGGACTCCATCACCTCTGCCAGAGAGACAACTTGAAGCTCATGCCCAACTGCCAGCAGATCGGCAAGTGATCTTCGCAGAAGAGGAGCAGACACTAAAAGGAAAACTGGAAACATCATCCACGTCAGCCTGTCTTGGACTCTAAGTGCCCTGGCTGTTCCTAACCTACGTAACCTGCGGTGGAAGAAGCAGGCGATGGTGATGGGAACACATGTTTTAGAATGCTCTCCCACGTAGCAGAGGTGAGGGCAGGAGCAGGGAGCAGCACAGCACGGCCACCATGCAGAACTCCTGCTTACCTTGGGAGAGGCGCGGACGCAGCAGAAGAGCTGGGTGTCATAGCCCATGACCGTGGTGCAGTCTGCCAGAGGCTGGGTGAACTTTGGGGCTTCAGAGAAATCTCGCTGTGCAAACCCCCCAGTCTTGCGAAGGGTAGCTGAGGAGACCGAGAAGGGCCCTGCTGTAGTGCCTGAGATCCCCCACCCTTCTTCAACTCTCCACCCTCCACCCTTCCCAGCTCCGAGTCTCTGCGCCCCACCTGCTTTCTGGATGTGGGCAAGGTCAGCAGTGATGGGGGCTGTCTCACTGAGCCCGCACTGGTTCTCAGCAAAGACTCGAAATGCATAGGAGTTGCCCACGATGAGGTTGGAGACTGTGAAGCTGGTGCGGTGATAACGTTCCAGCACCGTGAACCACAGCTTTGGGGGCCCAAGAAGATGCCGTGAATGAGATGCCTGTTTTGTGAACTCACTCCACCTCGGCTCACCGCATGGAGGTAGCAGAGCCCCATTCCAGAACGTGTGATTGCTCCCTCCCCACTCCCTCCCTAGCTGCGCCTCACCCCAGATTTTGTGTCAGCCTTCTGCACGGTGTATCCGAGGAGTGCCGTGTTGCCTGTGTCTTGGGGAGGTGTCCACTCCAGAGTAGCATTGGAGCCCCAAACATCCACCAACTTGATACTCTGAGGAGGGCCTGGCCTCTCTGAAAGGGCCAAGCATGGCAGTGGGCAGGGTACGGCTCACATATGCATGGGAATCACTTCGGGGTGCCCTTCCCCTTCTCTGCTCAGCTATGCCCCCCCTCACCCACCACTGTGCCCCATACTCGGTGTGGGGAGTCACCCTGGCCTCCCCAGCTGTCTGTGATGGCTCCTCTAGCCTGAGGACCAACTCGCTCCCACTCCCCCTACTGTACCGATCACCAGGATGTCAATGGTGGCAGTGGCCTCCAGCTCGCCCAGCCGCACGCTGAGCTGGTAGCGACCTGAGTCAGCACGTTGGGCTTCTCGGATGAAGAGGATGGAGTCCCGCTCCCCATTGCGCACACTCACACGGCCGGCATCCAAGGCACAGCCATCATGTGTCCAGGTGGCTTGAGGTTTGGGTTTGCCCTGAGAAATGGGAGTAAGGCGCTGAGCAGCCCCAAGAGACCTCGTGACCCTCCCTGCTGCAGTGGGGACCAGATCCACCCCAGGTCCACATGGTGACTGGACTCGCAACTGTGAATGCCTTCAGTTAGAAGTTCGCACACTGTCCCAGGGGACCTGCATCTTTCAGCAACAGCTGAAAGGATGTGGAGGAAGGAAGGGGTTTGGCTTTGAGTCTCCCGCCCTCTGAGAGTTTAGATCACCCGAGGCAGTTAGGGCTAACAATAGCTGTCTAAACTCCCGAGAACCCTCCAAACTGAGAGCTCCCAGACCTCTGCTGACCAAGGGACAGAGGTTAGCCTCAGCGGGTCACATGGGGGCATGCCCCACCCCATCCCCCCCTCAGGAGTGCAGAGGAAAGAGTCGTTCTGCCTCAGACTTCTGGTGACTTGGCCCCGTCCACTCCAGGCCAGGACAACTTCCCTACTGCTAGCAGGACTCTCAGTATCTGTTTCCAAATCAACACCCTCGCCTGGTCCCGGCCCGGACCCAACACGGAGTCAGCACGGGGCCAGCATGCTTACCTGGAATGGGATTAGTAGGTTCACGGTGTCTCCGACCTTCCGGATATAGGTCTGCCTCAGGGCGCGAGGTAGCCAGATCTTGGGGTGCTCTGAATGATAGAAGGAGAGAGAACAGTGGGTGGTGAGCCTCCTGTAGTGGGAGGCGCAGAGCTCAGAGGAGGTGGACACTGCACCCGGCTGTGCTCCATGGGCAGACGCCCCAGGTGCTCGGCAAATCAGTCCTCTCCTAGGGGATGGGAAGATTGCTCCCTTCGTCTCCCTGGAATTTCGGGATGAGTGATTGGCTGAAATATCCTCTGGAGAGCATTCAGGTCTTGGCAGAAAGCACTGGAATGTGAGCCTGACGCTTACTTCTTTTAATTTGTAATGCTCAGCTAGTGACTCTTCATTAACCGAGATTTCCTTTTTCTGTTTGTGCACAGACTGGTCCAGCCTGTGGGGTTTGCCTTTCTACCCCATTTCTGCATTTGTCCTCAACAGCACTCCATTTATCAAAGCCACTTTCAATGTTAGTCTGGACCTCCAAGCATCAGCCCTGCTTCCCAGTTTGAGGCCACACTGGAGGAGAAAGTTTTCCACTCTGCAGGCAGAGTCAACACCCTGGACCCACCGGGACAGCACTGACGTCACTGAAGAGGGAGCTGGTGTCTGGGTCCCTTCCTCTGCGTGGCTATGCTGCTTGGACGACCTGTGCAATGCTCTTCCAGTTGGTGGAGGATCGCTTTGTACCAACAGACTCTGGGAATCTGGGAAAAACTAGGCCACCCCTCCCTGCTCCTTGATGTTCCAGGCCTGTTCCAGTGAGTCGAGGGATTAGTTTATGTCCCTTGGCTTCCAGGATGGAGGCAGGAGACGCTCAGGAAAAGTGCTGAGTATGAGGTTTGGAAGACGACCAGGTGTGACCGCTTTCCTCTCCGGATGTCTTGGGCTGCCTCGGCTGAGAAAGTGCAAACATCCCACCTGGTTCCCTTGGGGGCCTGGCTGAGACTGCACCATTTTCTAGCTTTCTCGGGGCTCCTGTCTCCTTCTTCCTCAGGCAGACAGTCGCCTGTTGCTGTTGTCAAAAGTGGAATGTGACAGCGCCTCATTCCTCACTACCTCCCCGGCCTCTCTGCACAATTCTTTTGTGGAGTCGTAAAAAGCCTCACCCAGGTCACTACCGAGGCAAACAGCACCACTGTGTGATAGTGGGCTGTAAACTTTCTGATAATGTTAACATTTCCCGACGATACATTCCTGAGCACTCCACTCCACGGTCTGTGTGTTCACTTACAAATTGAACTGTTTAAATATGTACATTATGCAATGCAAACTTTTGAATGGTGAAATTTAAAATACAGTACGTAGGGGTTCTACTGTGTTCTTCCTACACCTCAATTTGTAGCCCACTGTTTAGAGAGCAGGAAGCTCCTTCCCATGGTCTGCCCTGTCACCACCCCGAGGTCACTTTTTGCCTTTGGAAATAAATATAAACACAGATAGCGCACACTGTCCATTTTTGTTTATCTAGTTTCCTTTTTCACTGTGTGGCTTATGTTTCCTCCTGGGCTGTGCTTCTTAGACTGCACCTCACCCACCCCTGCCCCTGGCAAAAGCAGGAACGAAGTGACACGGGGCCTCCTCAGGTGCTCTGAGCGGCTGGCCTGCCTGTGTTGCTCAGGGCCTGGCGCCCCAGTAAGAACGGCAGCGACAGCGATGGAGCCCCAGCCGGCTGGCTGGGCGACACTTCTCTGGTTGCCCTCTGTTCGACTTTGGCAGTTTGGAAGGGGGTGGGGCACGAAACACAGAAGAAGCGTTTGTGTGATGTGTTCCTCTCCTGTGGCCCTCTCGGCAAGCGACCAAGGAGTTGAGAAAGAGCGGATATGACTTAAGGGTTTTCTGAAAAAAAGAGGGTGGCAGTTGAAAAGGAGGGTCAAAACCTCATCTTGTTGGGCTTGGTTCCCTACTGTTGGATGAGGAAATAGCCCTTCACACTTGCTGGAGGGAGGGCTGGAGAGAAGCCGGCTCTTCTGTCCCCTGCTCTGCCTGCATGACGCAGAGGGAGCTTGATGAGCTCCAGGATCAAGAAGACAGGGAGGAAAGGGCTCGGAGAGAGAAACACACTTGTGAAGTTGTGCTGCCTCTCCGTCTAGAAATGTACGTCCAAAGGGCCTGTTCTCTGAGCACAGCATACCTGCCCCCTTACCTGCCCTCCACTGTCCACCTGGGCCTGCGCACCTTGTCAGGGCTCTGACAGTGATCTTGCTCTTAGGAGGAGGTAGCAAAGAGGGGAAGGCAGAGGGATACCCTCAAGAATTGAAAAGGTTGAGGCGAGGAAACCAGCCGTCACACCTGGAAGATATGTTGTCTGAGTCCTGCTCTGCTTAGAGCTCAGGTGGGGAATGGGCTTCTATAGAGGGGTGCATGCCCACTGATCTATTTGTGCCCACTTAGTGTTTCTCTTGTTTCTTAGAGAGATACTTTGGAAGATGTTAGCATTGGTTCACCTGAACTAAGGAGAACAATTACAGAAATAATTTATGTGGAACATAAATTAAGATGGTGGTATTCATGGGGCTCCTGGGTGGCTCAGTCGGTTAAGTGTCTGACTTCGGCTCAGGTCATGATCTCACGGCTTGTGGGCTCGAGCCCCGCATCGGGCTCTGTGCTGACAGCTCGGAGCCTGGAGCCTGTTTCAGATTCTGTGTCTCCCTCTTACTCTGCCCCTCCCCTGCTTGCAGTCTGCCTCTCTCTCTCTCAAAAATAAATAAACATTAAAAAAATCTTTTTTTAAAGATGGTGGTATTCAGAGGAAGATGAGCAGAATGGCCCGGGGTCCAGAAGGGATCCCAGCGGAGGCAGAGACAGAGGAGAAGGGCCCACAGCTAGCATGGCAGTCTCTTCCTCCCTGGGGGGCGCCTGTGCCAGTTCTTTGTTTGTAAGTGGGATTCCCTGACAAGACGTGAACTGATAGGGGACAAAGTTGAGTTAGTAGAATGCTCTGAATCTGAGGCTTAGTAGGTGAGGATTCTGCTCTCAGCAGGCTCCCAGACCACAGTGGGGGGGTGGGGGGTGGGGAGGAAGGAGGACAGGCTTGGGCAAAAGCAGCTGACAGTGCAGGAGGTGGCAGGAGACAGTGTGGCAGCTGCAGGTGCCCAGGCAGCGGCACACTCCCCAGCTCGACCTGGGCCCTCGCCCTTTGCTAAGAATGGTAATTGGAGGGCTCATTTGGGGCATCTCTTTTCACACATCTGCAGTCAAGAGAGGTGTTAATTGTACCGACCTTGGGGAAACATGGCTTTTCCCTGAAGCCCAAGGTCTTTCTCCTCCTCAGATGCCAGGAGGGATGTGAGCCAAAGACTAGAGCCCTAAAGCACAACCTAGGTTTTCTTTCTTTCTTTTTAAATTTTTTAAATGTTTATTTTTGAGAGACAGCGAGCAAGCAGGGGAGGGGCAGAGAGAGAGAGAGGGACACACAGAATCTGAAGCAGGCTCCAGGCTCTGAGCAGTCAGCACAGAGCCCGATACGGGGTTTGAACTCACAAGCAGTGAGATCATGACCTGAGCCGAAGTTGGACACTCAGCCTACTGAGTCACCCAGATGCCCCACAACCTAGGTTTTCTAAGACCAAGTTTCAGACAGCCACAATTTGGTTTTCTCCCTTCATGGAGTGTAGGGGAAAAGGCATTTTGAAAACACAAAGTCCTTTGAGAGACATTGGCTTCTGACCTGTGGGGTCGTCTTTCCCTCAGACAGAATGTGGTCTAATTCTTTCTTTAAAATGAACAGAGAAGGAGACTACTTAAAGTCCAAAGATCTTGACTCCTCTTGATTAGAAATTTCCTCTTAATTCTACCCTAATTTCATTCTGCTGAAGTTTATGCCCATTTCCTTATTCTGTGCTCATGGGGAAACAGATGTTCATATTCTCTCAAAATTTCCCTTTACACAATTAAAGCCTGTCCTCCAGCAATTCCTGAAGTGCCATGTAGTTCACACTGATGTTATTACTTATGGCCTGGAGAGTGAAGGAACAAGACAGACACATCAAAAGAAGGGAGGGAGCTGTGTGTGTGTGTGTGTGTGTGTGTGTGTGTGTGCAAGTGTGAGAGATAGAGTGTGTGTGTGACAGGGTGTGCATGAATGTGTGTAAGGGGGTGAGAGTATGCGCATGTGTGTGTGTGTGCTCCGGCCTGTGTGAGTGAATGGCTACCCATACAGGGCAAATGCACAAGGTAAGCGATGGCTTTGAAACAGGCTGTGGACTTGGCCTTATTAGAAACTTGCCTGGAGGAGGTCACAGGAAGGGTGACCTCCAAAGTACCTTGTGGGACAGGAGTGTCACCTTCTTGAAGACGGTGAAACTAAGGTCAGGAAAAAACAGAAGGACATAGAAACAGGCAACTGCTGTCTGAGAAGACCCGCCACCCTTCCTTTGGGGTGGTCCTCCCCATCACGCTTGCTGTGTGACGGCCACTCTCTCCAGTGCAGTTCCGGATCTTTGTGATCTCAACCCCCCCTCGCCCCCGCTTCCAGTCCCTGCAGAGCCCCTCACGTCTATGCCCACCCCTCTTCCAGCAGTGTCGTCCTCTCTGGCTCTAGCCCCTGGTTCCTTTCGTCATTCTCTAGCTGAGTAACTGCAGCCCCTGTAATCTGAATTTCAAGCGCCTCACTCTCTCCTCACCTCTACGACAGAGGGTGGCTAACTGCCTGCCCAAATGCATACTGTCTCTTCCACAGTGTAGCACCTTCTGGGAAGGGGCTGCCCTGGCCCCCTCGCTATAGGACCATCAGACTAGCTCTTGCCAATGAAGTGCAAGTGGAAATGATGAGAATCACTTCTGAGCCAAGGCCTTTAAGAAATGCGTTCTCTATATCCTCTTCTGCTAGCTGCAGCCACGTGGCTGAGTACAGGGCCCTGAGGCACAGCAGAGCCACAAGAGGGAAGAGGCCTGGGTCCTGGAATCATTGCATGGAGAACGGTTTTTAATAGAAATAAATAGAAACAGAAGCTTTTTCATAGAAATAAACAACTACTGTTTTTGAGCCTTCAGTTCTGAGGCCTCTTTGTTACATCAACCGGCAAACCCCGACGAGCACAGCCTCTGTCCCTAGAGTGCTCCCCTTCTGCCGCTCCAGCTACCAGCCATCCTTCAGCACCACTGAGACCTCTGATCCCCTGTCTTCCTACCCCTTCACTCCCTGTCACCCTCTCTGTTACCACTCTCTCTCCCACCCACCTTAGATTCCAGTCATTACCCTCCCTCCCTTGTGTCCCCATTCAAATTCCTTACTCCTCTTTTTCTCCACTGCACTCTCCTAGCAATGGCCAACCCCAGTGACATGCTTTCCACCCACTCAGTGCCCACATCCGCACGCTGGGGAAAAACACAAGCGAGGCTGACAGTAAGCTGATGGCCATGAGCAGTGACTAGTAACTCCAAATGGCCCCTGGCAGTTCTAGTCCACTCTGCCTCCTATTCTCCCAGGTGACTATTGGGTACCTCCCTCTTCTAAAACCTCCATACCTTCTCCCTCGTCCTCATCCTTAGTTGATGATCTTGCTAGTGTCTCAGGCCTGCCTACAGCCTATTCTTAGCTCAGCAGCTAGAAGAATCCTTAAACCCTATAGCTGACCATGTCAGTTTCTCACTTAAAACCCTGCCCAGGCTGCCCACCAGTCTCAGAGTTGAACCAGTCTTCACAAGGGTCCTGCTACCTCTCTGCCGGCAAACCTACTGTTCTCTTCCTCACGCTGCAACAGGCCCAGTGGCCCCAACCCATAAGACACACACTCCTGCCTCAGAGCCTTTGCACAGACTGTTCTCTCTGCATGGAAGACATTCCCTCCAAGTATCTGCATGCATTGTTCTCTCATCTCCTTTCAGTTGCTGCTCAAATAGCACCTAATTAATGGGACCTTCACTGAATATCCTGTTTAAAACTGCCGACATGTTTCCCACCCCCAGCACTTTGTGCCCTCCCTCTCTGCTTCATTTTTCGGCACAGCGTTTATCACATCTGACATCTTACATATTTTATTTATTTATTATCTATCTCCTTACACTAGAATGTAATCTCCACAAGGGGAGTTACTTTTGCCTATTTTTATTTCTTTAGCAGTGTGTGGCACATGATAGGCCTAAAAGAAATATTTGTAGGAGGAAGAAAGAAGATAGGAAGGATGGAGGAAAGCAGGAAGAAGGAAGAAGGAAAGGAAGGTTGCTCCCAGGCATGGGCTCCAGCTTCCCAAGGCTGGAAGACACAGAAGAGTTTGGATTGAAAACAGATGCAGTTACTCTGAAAGCAGCAGCTGGGCCCTTCCTCTGGGTCTCAGGGTCTCCTCTTCTCCATGGCAGGGGTACAGCCTGCCCCCCAGCCTCCCACCCAGCGCTGCCTGCAGGACCCAGTGCCTCCGTACAGTGCTGAGGGGAGACGGAAACTTGTTTCCCAGTGCTGGCCACCTACGTCTGCTCATCTTGTAGCCACATAGCAGGCTTTCCTGACTAAAAGCTCATGTTGGCCAGTTACAATTTATTTTGACGTTGCAAATGCACGTCTGCCCCTGGTGCCTGCTCTGTTTCCTGTGCACACGCACGCTCACTGCAGTGCTCCTCTGGGTCCGGCGGTGCTCCCCGTGAGGTACAGGAGGGGTTAAGAGGAAGAAAAAGACCTTAGAGCTCATGCGAACATAGGGACCATCTAGGCTGGGTCCATGGCACCCTGAAAGACCTTTGAATGGGCTTCAGGGGTTCTGTGGGCCCCCTGAACATTTTCTAAGCATTTTTCCTGGGATAAGAGTCTACAGATTTCATCAGATTTTCCTAGGGGTCCACAGCCATCAAAAGGTCATCCTTCAATTTACAGATGAAAAAATGGAAGCCCAGAGAGGTGCAATGACTTTCCTAGGGTCACAGGACAGAGCTAGGACCCTGTCCTCTCTGAGCAGATAAGATGCAAACATATTTTGCAAACTATCACAAGCACTGCTTACCTTCACTGACCTCTGGGATGCTAATGAGTGGAGCTGCTGGCGCGGGGGCGGTGAGGCTGCACTTGGGACTGGCCGGGGGCTGTCAGGAGCGATGGCCCAGAGTGCCCACTCACAGCCAGAGGGAGGAGCGTGGCGGAGACGGATGATGACCTCCCCCAGGGTCTTATGGAGGGAGACCAGCCGAGTTGGGAGTCAGCAGTCCCGGCTCTCACTCTCTCTCTGCCTGTGTCGCTTATTCTCTGGATCCTTATGGAAGAAATGGTTTTCTGTCTCAAGACCATCCCAGCCTAGTGTGCTCACAATAACTCTGCTCCCCTACCTCTTCTTTTTCAATGGAAGGAACTCAGCCGGCTCTCTCCCTGTGACATTGAAACAGCTCCTGGAAACCCAGCGCCTCCTGTGAGGATGACGAGTGGCAGCCAGCTTTCCCTACTCAACCCTGTTTGCAGGTAGAACTCTGTCTTCACCCCTAACTTGGAAATATTTTATTATCTACTCACATTGTCATTTGGCCTCTTCCCAGGTACTTTGGGTCACCTCAACAGTCCTCCTAACCCCCTACTAGGTAGACACTAGTAATTACCATTTTACAGAGAGGAAATTGAAACTGAGTAGTTGGTTAGCTTGTCCAAGGGCACAAAGCTGCTGGAGGCAGCCTGGGAATTGAGTCTAGGTCACAGCGTCTTCTCCTACCACTCCCTACCCTCGGGTTTCATGCGTTTCTTGTTTGTGGTCTCTGCATCCCCTGCACTTAAGATGTTGAGGGGCCAAAAGTAGAGACTTTGTGCAGGTAACTGTCTTAAATGTTTGAGGCAGCCCCCGTGGTTCCTTCTGCCGGTTACTGCACATGAGACGGGAAACGCCTGGCTCCTGCTTTCCACCTCTGGTCGGCCAAGCCAGGCACCGTGGGCGACACCCCAGGTGAACATGACAGAGGCCTCAGCCAGGGGCAGCTGGGGAGTGGGTGGCTGGGCTGCTGGCAGGGAACCTGGGACTGGAAGGGGCGCCCACCACCTCCTGGCTCAAAAGCGCCTCTTCGCTTAGAGGCCCAGAGAGACCACTGTGGAAGGGCGGCCAAATGCTTCTCCTGGATGGGCTCTGCTTCCATGGAGCTCAGACCCTGAGAGGCTGGGATTTTCCATGGGAGCCAGCTGGGGTGTTGGGGTAGGTCCTGGACCTGTGGCACTGCCAAGGGAGAGGCAGAGTGTCATGGACCGTTCACCACCAGCTTCTCAGTTGTAAGTTTTTCACTGCCCTCTTCTAAGCCAGACAGCCACCATCTCACCCCTCAATCCCTTCCTGGCTGGTATATATCAGGTCCTAGTATATATCAGGTCCTCAGTCCCTGGGACAGACATGTTATTAAAGGTAAAAATATAAACAGATCAGTTTTAGTCGCTGGAAAGCGTCACATACACCATCCCCTGGCTTCTCAGCTAAAAAGCACAAACCCAGCAAAGACACATGAGCAGCAAGTAAGAATCCACCAAGCAAAGGGGTGGGGGCTCCAATGAATGCTCCCCCACCCTAGGCACCAATCCCATGAAGCTTCCCTCTGCACAAACCTGAGGAGGTACAGTCAGGGGGTGAGGGATATCCTCCCCAACTCCTACCACCCAGCTGCCCCACCCTTCCCAACCCCACGGGTCACCTTCTATAGGGGACAGGAGCTGGGGAATGGGGCTGCCGGCCTCCTGTCGAGGTGAAGCTGGGGGTCCTTCTGCATCTGCTGGGCTCGTTTCTTTCACCTTCAGTGTGGATCCTGAGGAGGCCACCTCGGGAGCTGTGGCTGCCTCCATGCTGGGCTGCCCGGAGGCTGGGCTCCAGAGAGAGATTTTCACTGTTGGTGGTGAGGGAGGGGCTAAGCACCTGCTCTCCAGCCTGGCCTCCGGGGTCCCAGCCATGGGCTTATTTATGTAACTGGCCTGGCCTTTCCCCACCCGGCTACTCCCAGCAGAAGGGCTGAAGTAGGGGCTGGGGAAGAGAGGGAGATCAGACAGCAGCCCAGAATAGCCGCAAGAGGACTGAGGTGGCCCTGCTCACACAGCCCGGGGGTGGGGTGGGTGTGTGTGTGGTAGGCTTTGAGCTTCAAACAGCTCCCCTGGCCGCGCACACAGATCATACAATGGGGCTCCTGGCTTAGCAGGCTCAGCGGTTCACACGCACACCTTTCACCTTTAACGGCTCCTTCTCTCTCTGTGCCGTGTTCAGGGAGCTGTAAAGTCTTGTCAACTCGCCCTTTTCAGGGTCTGTCCCCATCCCCTCCGCCAACCCCCCTAGTGGTGGGGAAGGTAGAGTCTGCCCTCTGGAGCTGGACTACCTGGACTCACTTTTGGCTCCATCACCAACTAGCTTGTGCGACTTGCATCACAGTCTCTCTCAGGTCTGTTTCCTCATCTGTAAAATGGAGACGGTAATGCCCATAGGGTGGTTGTGAGGATTAGAAGAGGTAATCTGTGCAAAGTGCTTAGCAGAGTAGAGTGAAGTGCTTGATAAATGGGAGCTATTTTTAGGTTGGGCCAGCACGTGGCCCTCTGAGAGCTCCCTTGCCTCTGAGATAAAGTACCAGTAAAGCGAGAGGCAGCAGTGGTGGAGGGGAGCCAGGGGCATGAGGTCAGAGTATGTGTGTGTGACTTCGGGCAGGGCTACTCACTCATTAGCTAGGTGACCCTGGGCAAATCACCGAGTCTGAACCTCAGGGCTCTGAAACCAGAGATGATGATGCCATGACTGTGTTGAGGCTAAAATGCTAATAGTCGAAGGAAATGGCCAGAGCATAGGAAGTGTTATTAGTTTCATACTAAAGGTCCTATAGGATTTCTAGGCTTACCAAGCCATCATTCTACACATTCTGTACTGTGTCCAAATGGTTTCCTATCATACCCTCACTTTCTTTGTTCCAGAAACCAGCATCCCCTTTGTGTGTGTGTGTGTGTGTGTGTGTGTGGAAAGACTTTATTTTTAGAGCAGCTTCAAAGGGTTCACAGCAAAGTTGAGTAGAAAGTACAGAGTTCCCATATACCCCTTCCTTCTTTCCACCACCTCTTTTATGGAAAAAAAAAGTGTGGTTGAATGGATGAGCTCCTTACTCATTTCTTCCCTCTAGCCCTCAATTTAGAGACAGAGTCGATAGGATCCCAGGAGCCTGTGCTACAATGGAAACTCCCCTTTGCAACTTGTGTAGGGGCTGAGGCCAGGAAAGCTAGTAGACACACTTCTGGCCCAGGAACCTATTTATCAGGAGCTGGGATGGCCGAGAGGGAGCTGTGTGGCTGGACCTCTGAGGCTGCACCTGGTGCCACATCAGGATTCGTGTGAAGGTGGCTGCCCGATTTCTTTTGCCTGAGCCAGCCAACAACTTTATAAGTACAGAGTTCCGACATCAGGAGACTCCAAAACCCCCTTTTTCCACCCTACTTAACCCATCCTTTGGTGAAACTGGTCTAGGCTTTCAGTCTAAGCCCTTTGTTGCAATAGAGGTGTAAAGAATCAAGGTAAAAATGGAGACTCTTAGGGTCTGTCCGTTATGAAGTCTAATTTAATGAGTCTAGGTGGGGTCTAGGAATCTGCATCAGAAAAAGCAACCTTAGTGATTCTGGTAAAGTCTTAGGACACTAGGTTAGATAGACTTGCTGAAAATAAAATTACATACATAATCTCCTAGGGGAGGAACTCTTCCGCCAGGTGGCGGGGCTCCTTAGAAGCAAAATCTTTTGCCTCTTCAGCTTCAGATCATGATGTCAGAGTAGGTATTCATTGGAAATATCACCCACGATGGCAGACTGAGAAGCAATTTTCAAGGCTCAGCTAAAGGTTCAAGGGAGTTGGGGAGGAACCTCTCCTAAAACACAAGTTTGGGGAGACAGGAAAGCGGCAGCTCTTTGAATGTCCTTAAATGAAATGGATCAGGCAGGCTAGGAGTAAGAACAGCAAGAGAAACCTGAGAGAGGCAGGGTTGTTGTCTGTCAAACCTGCCTGAAGGAGCATCTAACTCAGGAGAGTCATTCTATGCCGCTGTGTCCAGAAGGAAGAGTGTAGCAGTGTACTGAAAGGGTGCGTGGGGTGTGAGACCGAGAAAGCTGGCCCCACAAATACCCACGGGAGGTAGACTTTTAGGAGCGGAAAGAACAAGAAAAAACTAAGTAATCCCCCGCAACTTACCTAATACCTCTCATGTGACAAATGCACAGTCCTGCCTCTTTTACTGGCTTATTCTCTGGTGGCTGGAGTTTGATTTCTGAGGCTAGAAAACTGGAAAATCTACCATATTAACAAACTGTACATATTAACAAACTATAGCTTAGTCATTTCAACAGGTCAGGTAACAAAGTCCAGTCTGTTTTATTTCTAACCCAAATATTGCAAATATACAGAAAATTACCAGTACAAAGTTAAACACATCCAGATTTATTTACACAATGCTAAAGAAATTTGAGTTTGATTTCCGTTTTGTGGAATTTTGTAATGGGGTCTGGCTTTTGTTGTGTAACTGACATGGGTCACTGAAACTTGATTATCCCACCCCACATGCAATTTTCTGTCCCAAGGGAACAGAAAACTTGGGTTTTTAGCGCACATGCAGTAATGATGTTAATACTGCTTTACACTTTAGTAGGAAGGCAGCTGTCCCACAACTTGGGGAAGGGGCAGAGAAGTTATAGGACAGGGAGGGACCACATGCTCAGAAAGGGGACAAGAGACAAGAAAGGGTTGAACAACAGGCACATGGGGACCCTGAGCATTTCTGTGCATGAGGATAAGGAGGGTACGACCAAAACCCTCCTTCCCTAGACATCCAAACACGGGAGGTGGGCAGAATCATCGGGGAACATTCAAGTCACCCGACCACAAACTGAGGGCATGCGGAGGATGAGAATGTCATGAAATATTTGGGACATATCAATAAATCATTAACATGTACACTATACAGTTTATACATGTATATATGTACATATATATATATAAAGGTACAGATTAGTTTATGTTATTCTATATAAACAAGGATGCTTAAGAATGTACTGGTGTGAAAAAAATGCATACAGCAAGTTGTTGAAGACAGTTTCAAATTAATGTTCTGATTCTTACTGTTATAATGAGACATAACCAAGGAATCAACATGGTCCTGCTATTTCAATCATCCTTCATGAGGGCAAGGCCCGGGCTCTGCTCGGGCAGGACGATGCTCCCAGAGCTGCTGGGCAAATGGGCAGCAGATGAAACAGAAGGTCTGGCACCTGCTGAGCGCCAGTGCCGGTAAGTCTGGCCCTCCCTATCGCTCCGTCATGTGGCAAGTCTTACACTTTGGTTTTGTTCAAAGGACATTTAAGTCCATGTTTATTTCCCTGCTTGCGGCAAGGCAGTAGCAAAATTGAAAAGCTGAATCTCTTATTTTAGTAGTTCCAAGTATCCAGGGTGAGGGGTGAGGGGAATGTACTAACAATGGGCAGGATGAGCTCTAAACCACTGTATTTGGAAGCAGGGCTCTTTAGAGCTCTCCTGAAGGGAAAGAGAACCTCCCATACTTGGATGATTTGCCTAAGAAACAGAGAACTGACTGAAGCTCCGGCCAGCCCTCTCTGTACCCTGGTATTGTGACCAAGGCCACGGAAGAACCGGCTGCGCTTTATAGAGCTGGTGCAGGAGCTGGAGGTGGCCAGCACCTGACTCATCTGTCAGGGATGAAAGGCCAGCTTGGGCATGTAGAGGCCCAAAGGCAAACCTAGGAATTAGAGAGGTACACGCTGGAAAGCCTAGTTAGAGGCAGATGGCAAGTTCTCAATTTCAGTTATAACTAATCTACTGAATCTCCTGAGCCCAGCTTAGAACTGCCAGAACCCTCCAAACACTTTTGATTCTTCAAAGTGGTGTTCCCATTCAATCACCAGCCTCGGTATATGCATCCCTGGTCTCTGGACCCACTAAAAACCAAGAACCCCCCCTTAGGTCCAAGACACCTGTCACAGGTGAGGGATGGTGAGTTCTCCACCTGAATTTAAAAGCCCAGACCACTCTGGACAGTCTGACATGTCCAACTTATCTTACAATGCTAAATTCTATCACTGAAACCTCCAGCAATAATCTCTCCTGCTACCATCAAGCCTGGGATTTTATTACACAATGGTAAGCTACACTTTACGCAAAGATAATGCTCCTAACCTAACATCAGTAGAACAAATTAGAACTTGTCTTCCCTCATAAGCTATCATGGATTTAGGCTGTTATGCTTTCTGGCTGAGGGCATACATTTCTGAGTGAGCAGGCTGATATGGAAAGCTAACTAGCCAATGAAGGGAATGAGCCAGGCTTGTTGGCAGTCCTCCAACCAACGGGAACTAGCTAGCTAGCCGGCCAGGGCCGAGCAAACAAGGAGAATGGAGAGGGGTGGCTCATCAAGGGAGATCCCACGCCCGCAATGAGGTGCGGGGCAGTTTCTAACCACATATTCAAAATCACCATTCATGTGTGTTTTCAGCCGTGAAGAACAGGAGAATAAGACTTGCCGTTTACCAAGGTGACAAAAAGGCTTCACACGCTGCTCTGACAGAAATGCCACTGACCCTTCTCCTAAAGAACAGCAAATCATCCAGAAGAAAGAAGCCCTTCCCGCTCCAGGTATCCAGCACCTGCACGCATAACAAGGTCGTGAGCCCTGAAGACGGCCAATGGACAACCGGCACTGCTCATCACACACAGGGACCCTGGACAATTTACTCACTTTTTGTATCTCAGCTCCATCCCCTAAAAATGCGTATTACAAACCCCTGCCTTCAAAGGAAGAATCTCACTGAGGATGTGGTAAGGTTCAAATGACATACTGCGAATGAAGTCCTCTGAAAGCTGCCAGGTTTTACAGAAATCCCAGATACCATTATAAGCAAAGAGCTTTAACCATACTTGGTTACAGAATACTAACTTTCCTACATCCTAAAATGAATCAGAGAAATACTGCATACTGGCACAGGTACTCCAACGGGTAACACGTATATGCCGTGGGCAAAAGGTGTGCAGCAGAAGTGGGTCTTTTCTGGGCATCAAATTCACTTTGGACAGGAGGTGAGGGTGTCTGGGACAAAGGCTGACACTTCATCGTTTGTGAGCCGGTCAAATGAATGAGCTTTTCCTAAAAGACCAGTGCTCTCTAGCTGAAGCAAATATGAATCCTCTTCACAAAAACTGCCCTAACTTTATTTTCTAACTAGGGCTCCCTGACTCATTTAATTTTCCTGCAGCTTCAAAGTCTCTAACCTTCTCCATCCACCCCCTCTCCCACTTTCCCTGCTGCTGTTAATCCATTCTGGGGAAGAGAGAACACGGCCATCTGCTCACTCATTCTGACAAAAGTTAATTTGGCACATTTACTTTTTTGTGACTTTACAGCCATAAAATGAACGAGCAGCAAAATGGCAGTTACCAAAGAATGTCCCAATCATAATTACTGGGTGAAACTGTGGCCAGCACAGTAGGGATGCTAAGACCAAGCTTGTACCATGCTATATTCCTGGCGAGCAAACATCCAAGCCGTATGAAAACTAACTACTGCAGCTCGCCGCTACTATACGGCCATCTTCAAATCCACCTCACTACATTCTACCGTGAAGTTAATTTGAAAAGTGTCAAATGGAAAATTTCCTTAAATTTAAAATACGAACCTAATGTATCACACAAAACATCACCTACACTGGAAGTGTGTCTTCAGTTGGTTCGGCCAAAAGTTTCACGGCAACAAATTCCTTGGCAAAGCTGGGAAAAATGGGTGAGGAGGAGAGCCTGGTAATAAAGTCCTGATTTTCAAAAAAACAGCCTATAAATCTGAAAATGTGTTTAGTCCTGGCTCCATGTACGACAGCAATCCAGGAGGAGGCACGCAAGTAAACGGCCATCCTGATGATTCACCGCCGTGCCAACAGGTGGCAGAGGACATGGAAGACTGTGTGATGTTCAGTCCGTAGGGGCCACACTGGGCGCCCTCCCTCGGCTCTAGCAAAGAGGTCACTTGGCCTGGGCAGACATCCGGGGCAAGCCCTAACCCTGTCCTTGAGCAAATCCACTGGCACAAACATGAAGCACGGTTGGAAAGATCTTGGAAGAAGCAAGAATTTGTCCTTTAATAGGTGCTAAATCTAGTCAATTCTCTGCTGCTCCCTTCTTCCTGCCCCAAGTTAAAAATATTGCCCTTTAAGTTTTCCTGATTTAGTGTCTTAGAAGCACATGGTTAAGTCAGTTGTCAAAGGGCAACTGACAAGGGTATACTCCCCGATTAAACAGGGGAAAAGAAACACCACTGTGGTCTACGGTCCCCAAAAAAGAAAGAAAGAAAAGGCAGGGTGTGTGTGAGGAGCTGGTGTGCAGTGTTCTCGGGGCAGGGCTGTCCCTGGCCGGGGAAAGGCTGCCCGGGCCGTGCCAGTCATTGCAGCCTCCAAGTCCCTCTCGGCAGCTGCTTTGTGTCGCCAGCAGAGCCCAGGGACAGCACCGGGTGCGTTGTGAACATTGATGCTGGGGTTGGCAGGAGCCCTGAAGCAGGCGCCATGCAAAACATGCGAGAGTGGGGTTAGTGAAACATTCCCTTCTGATTCCATTTCGTTTCCCTTAAAAAACAAAAACAAAACCAAAAGAACCCATACTTTGCAAAAAGAATTTGAAATAAAAAGTTAAAGAATTAAAAATTACCCCCCCTTCTCAGGGCCAATTATGAGAGTGTTTAGGGTTCCCCCCCACCCCCCGCCCTGCATTTCTTTAGTGAAGGTCCTTTTGGCTTTGGTGGAAGCAGCAGAAACAGAGCTGGGTCCCTCGCAATGGGAAATTTATTCCCCCCATTCGGAGCCACAGGGAGTGTGAGAGGTACTGCGGTTCCATCATCTGTCCTCGGTCCCAGCTCCTTGGAGGAGCTATTCCAGGAGGTCCTGAGAAGAAAAACAGAGACCGTATTATTTACACACTAAAAAGTTCCTATTTTGAAAGTTATGACCTAGTTGCTGGGCTGGCCAACTCTCACAGTCATTAAGTTGCTGCTTCTGGCTTTTACCCTCCTTTGCCTCAGTCAGATCTTGATTATAAACAGAAAAAGAAACACTCCTGTTTTGTACTTGTGGCCCACCCCTCCGGAAGAAATGGTTTACCTCATCTGAGTCGTCGTGATAGCCGCTCTTGTTAGTGTGGGAGGCTGTGTCCAGAGCGTCCACGCCATCCACACCATTGGCCTCGGCATGTTGCTGAAGCACAGAGTATCGATGCACCAGGAACCTGGGGGTGGAAACATCTGTGAGTCCTCATGCGGTGAGGATGGATGTGTTTCTCACAGGACTGTGGATTTTCTGAGTTTTATATGTTCACAGAATGAGTCATACATATACGCTCCTGGTCGGCATGTGGAAAATATAAATTCTGATTTGGGCCTCCTGCTTTAGGGACATCACTTCAACGAGCTAGTTTTTGCCCAAGAGCAAACTCAACCGTGCGCCCTTGGCTGACTCTGTGGTTTGAATTCAGTACCTCTGACTGACTTCCATGCTCCTTACCTTCCCCCACACACGTATTTCTTCACGAGGAGCACCCCTGCTACGACGGTGACCAGCATCAGTCCCACGGTGGCCAGGATGATTGGAACAGAATTGGACTTGGAATTCTTGATAAATTAAAACACAAACAATTTCAGGTGTGCATATTCTAGGACTGAATTCAAGGAGACTGCCCATTTCCCTGGCCTCTCTGTGAATGATCCGCAGTCTCTAGGTATTTACTGCTTTCCCAGCCCCCCCACGATGGGCCCTCTCAGTGCTATCAGGAGGTCATCACTGGTGGCAGAGGGTAACCAGAACCTCAGCTCCTTGAAGCTGCCAGAATGGTGCAGACTCAGGGGCTTTCATGTCAAAGTAACATTGGGAGCCCTTGGCAGTGAGCTCGGTCACACAGCAATCGTGACTGTTCCCGGCTACCAGTGTGTAAGTCGTGGACCACTTAAGGGTGCAGCAGGAAAGGGAGACACGATGGTAACAGGGGGTTGGAAGAATCTGGAACAGAGCCAGCACCCGGGAAGAAGCTGTGCCAATGCCTTATCAGGCAGGACAGCATATAACACTGAGACGTGTTTTTACTTAATTTTTGGTATGCTTTTACAAATAGGCCTTTTCATATCATTGTTTGAGTGTGACCTACCTGCTTCTGGGTGGGAGATAGGGAATGTGTGTTTTCAATGTATCCAAGAGGAGGCAGAGCTGGATTCTGGGACAAGCTGTGTTACTGTGGGTGGGAGTCCAGTGCAATCACACACACACAAACACTGAGGACAGCTGCCAGGAGTGTGGGGTGGGGGTGGGGGGGGGCGTAGAGGAGGAGCAACCTGCCCCCTGACAAGTACACACACCCACGCATCCTTCTCCCGCTACCTTCCTAATCCCCCCTCCGTCAGGCCCTCAGTCCTTAGAAGGCTGGGGAGGAAGGGGCTGCGGACTGTCCGCCTCTCATTTTATGGGTTAGGAAACTGGTGTTCACAGTTTACTGCCCCGGTCCCACTGCTGGTCCAGTACTTCTTTATCAAGAGGTTTCCTCTTTACCATTTCCCACACCCCAGCCAGACAGTTCAGTACTACAGATCTGTAATCAGCCCATGTCAAAACCAATCCACTGAGACCATCGTTCAGTTCTGCACTCTGCACGCACTCAGCATGACTTGGAGCAGAGACCACCTAACCTATGGCCCAGGGCTCCTCTCTTCCACAAGACTCCGGTGCAAGACTCCGGTCCTTTATAGCCAGGCTTCAAGCCTTTTTCCTAAATGACTCTCAGCCTCAGAAATGTCCTCAACTTGACGCTTCCAAGACTCAGAACAACTTTACAGAATTCCACTTTGTTCCCCCAACAAAGAAGTTTCTGGGGACGAGTTTCTCACTGCGTCGCATGACCCATCCTCCACACTAATGGTTTCCTGTGCAAAGCAAAGCCCGCTGGAAGTAGTTCGGCCGCTTTTATTCAGTAATAAAATTCTTAATGTTTTTTGTTCCTGGCAGAACAGGAAACCCCACTGGTACCTAAACCAGAACTACTTTCATATACCTGCTTTTCAGGACTCAAAAAGTTACTTGTACATTTCTTTTTCAAGTCTTTTACTTCTCGAACTGGATTCACTCCACCTTGGCATCTGTCTCCTGGAATTTTCCGGTACCTGAAAAGGCAGAAGACATTTTTTATCAGACCACTAGGATGTATCCCTGGATTCTTGTTAGTTCCTGAAAACAAGATTTGAAAAGTGCAGAAAAGCATCTCCACCTTATACCACCTCTCAGGCCAGAGGGGAGAGCCACAGGATGTTTCAGGGACATTTTGTGTAGTTTCAGGCCTTGAACAGACCAAGCATCCCTGGCCATGCTGTGGGGACATGCCCACCATTCTGCCTTAAGAGATGGGGCCAAAGAACTGTGACCCAGGGAAAGCACATTAACACATGGTACAAAAATGGGAGGGGGAAATATGTATCCGGGGAGGGGGCACCGTGTCCCCTCCAGAGCAGCGCTGCCTAATGCAGTAGCTACTTACATTTCAACTAATTAAAACTAATTCAGTGCCTCAGTTGCTGCACACGGTCAGCAGCCACCATATGGGACACAGCAGGTTAGGGAGCATTTCCAGCACCACACAAAGTTCTGTTAGACAGTGTTTTGCTAGTGTGCCCTAGAATGCTGTGTGCTTGGAGATGTGGAGTGCTGCGAGTGGGGGGTCTCACTCTGCAGGGTGAAGACTCCTCTGTCACGATTTGAGAGGAGAGCCGCCTCACCCATTTGTTGTCAGGTGCTCCTCTCTGCCATACAGACAAAACTCCAGGTCGTGGCCCTTCAGTTCTGGCTGCTCCACACATTTGGAATCATTTTCTGGACGGAAGTAGCCAAAATCACTGCCAAGAGTCAGCAAAGAAAGTATCTTTCAGAGTTGCTGAAAGACAGTTAAGTGACTAGTAATGAAGGGTTTCTGAGGAGCAGCGGAAGCTTAATATTCCAGTCTTTGGTTGCATGAGAGCAGCTCAGGAAGGCCTGTGTCATCTGTAAAGAGGGTCTGTTCAGGAAGACAGACATGAAGAGGGCTAAACTGGGGGACCATCAGCTTACGGATCAGGCCTGGTGGACTGAGGACTCAGCGGCTGGGAGCCCTGCACAGACCACGCGGACTCCAGGAAGGGGATGACTGCAGCAAGCGGGGGGGTGGGGGGGACTGTGCACCGAGAACAAAGACACTGAGAAACAGTGGCAACAGCGACAGATCTAAACCCACTATGCTTAGGAATCTTTTTATTTACCTCCAAATCGCTCATTATTATGTTTTTGGGAGGTATTCCATAGGGTGTATGCCAAATCTTTCCTGCCTGCCCCATTTCTGTCCCTCTTAGCTTCTTAGATGACCTTTGTTTCCAGTGCAAATGCCTGTTGTGCCCTCCATCCTACCCCCCTTTCTCTGTTTCTCCCAAGAAATATATCGCCTCCTCTCCAAGGCTGACCCCGTACACGAGCGCCCTGGGCCCATCCTTCCTACTGCCCTGGGATCTGGCTTCACTGATGGTATGGACCGATTATCAGTCCCTTAGCCTGCACATGTCCTCTTCCTTCCCCCTCTTCTTCCTTATCCTTCTTAGAAGGATATTTTATACTTGTTCTATTGTACTCATTTCCTTTTTATTCCATGCATTGTGGCTTCAACCCCCGTTATCACCTTGGAAGCGAATGTCTGAGGCCCCCAAGACTCCCTAGTCATGCCACTGTGGAGAGCCCTCTCTGGCCCTGCCTGTGTGGTGGCCCCGACACAGCACCTGCTCCTGCTCCTGCCGTTGCAACTGTGTCTGCCGGTTTCTCTCGGCACGGTTTGCACTTCAATCTTCCTAGCCTGGAAATGCAGACCCTTTCCTGCGGCCCACAGGTCATCCTCTTACTCTGTATCTGCTCTGCCTTCATGAGCTTCATTATTTGTTGCAACTAAAACTTCCAGGTTTTACCTCTCTTGAGCTCTGATCCTCCATTTCCAAGTACCTGCTGGATGTCACCACCTAAATCTGCTGACAGACCTTCAAATAAAGTGTCCAAAACATGTCACAAATTCTCTTTCAAGCCAGCCTCTCCCAACATTTCCCTATGTTTGTCCAGGGCACTGCCTTCCTTCCATTATTGAAGTCGAAAATTCAGCCTGGGCATGCCCTATCTGGACCCTACTCACTTCTTTATTGTGACCTCTGTGACTTCCCCTCATGGCCTATCTCCCGACACACCGTTCCCGAGCATGCCGGTGGTATCTACACGTACGCCAGTCCACGGCTTCAATGACTTGCTTCTTCCCAGATGTGCAAGGTCAGGTCCTGCCACCTGTCAGGGATCGGCTCCAATGCTGCCTCCTCCACAAAGCCTCCTTTGACCCATCTCCTTTCAGCTCTAGATGGAACAGCCTCTAGGTTCTCTACATCTTCAAGGCACTGTTTCACAGCATAATTACGTGCATCTTACCAGGAGAGTCAATAACAGGCTTTCCACCATCACTTTGCACTGCCTTGTGCACAGCAAGTATGTGATGGATGCTTGGGGAATACACAGATGATGCTTGCACTTCAAGGTTTTTGTGACAGATATTTAGGGGACAGGGTAAGAAGATGCAGAAGACACCACCCCTCTAGCACGGAGGGGGAGTTCCGGTGAAAATTTTAGGATGTCCAATCCGAAATGTCCGGGAAAGTGCCCTTCCCGCTCACAGAGTACACATTTCTTAGGCATGGGTGGCACAGTGTGTAGGCTCTGGGGCCAAGCTGCCACGCACACATTCCAGCCGTGCCGCTTCCCGGCTGGGTGATGGTGGGCGAGTTAGCGGTAACCTCTGAACCTTCATTCCTCCCTTTGTGAGATGGAAATGGCAACAGTACCTAGCTCAGGGGGCTGCCATGGTTAAACATAAATTGTTCGGGACAGTGCCTGGTATAGTTACTGCTCAGGAAACATCAGCTGCTATCACGACTACTCAATGATGATCAAATACAACATGCCCTCAAGGAGTCGAGACTTTACTGGTAGAACCAAACCTGTGCACAATAACCAAAACATAGCAAGAGCTGTACGGCAGAAGCCCAGATGAGTGAAAGCTGGAGAAGGCTTTACGGAGGTGAGAACTGAGCTAAGTATTAGAGGCCAAATAGGAACTCCCAAGCTTGGGGGTCAGGCAGGGAATGTGGGAAGACTTTCCAGGCAAAGGAAGCAGCAGGTAAAATGGCATGGAGCTCTGAAGAAGCACAGCTTGTCTGGAAAGCAGGAGAAGGTCAGGTAATGAAGAGCCTGGTCTGGGTCCAGTCTAGGATGTAGAGTGTCCCAGTGTCAACAAGCTCTAGCCCTAATATGACACCACAGTGACCGGAAGGATCCTGTTTCCTGTGGAAACACAGAAGACAAGACCTCTGGCCCATTCTGCATTTAGATGTGAGCCACACATGGGGAACCACACCGGGTCAGACTGGGTGTTCGCTCAGTCCCAGAGAATGTGATGTGGGAGGACACGACTGCTACCTGTCTGCATTCTTTTCCAGATCCTTTAAAAATTTTTATCTTTGAAAGAGAGAGAGAGAGAGAGAGAGAGAGAGAGAGAGAGCAAGCATGAGCAGGGGAGGGGTAGACAGAGGGAGAGAGAATCCCAAGCAGGCTTCCTGGTGCCAGCATGGAGCCTGATGCGGGGCTCAAATCCATGAACTGTGAGATCATGACCTGAGCCAAAATCAAGGGTCAGATGCTTAACCGAATGAACAACCCAGGCGTCCCTTTTCTAGATCTTTTAGGATCCACTTTTACTTCCTGTCAGTATGTTTTGCAGGTAATGAATTCCATAAGATTACTGGCTGTGATGGGAAGCAGTGCCTCTTATTTGACCTAACTTACCCTGCTTGGCTACCTGGGGCCTGCCTTGCCCTTATGTAATCAACTAAGTCCATGCCAGTAGGGTAACTAACCCTTCAGCCCAGATGGTCCTGAACTTGAGGCAGTCCATCTGGATGGCCTCTAGACCTTGATACGACATCTGGACCATCAGTACTCCAACATCCCCTCCAGTCTCCTTCAATCTTGCAGATGATCCAAAACCTAGTGCCCTACCTGCTGAACTCAGGCCGCCAGTGTTTAGTGAACACATGAATTCCAACTTCCTCCCAGCTCCTGTACTGTCCTTCCTGGTGTTTCTGCCCTATTTTCTCCTCTCTCTGTTTCTGAGTTCTCTTCCTCCTTATACACCTCCCTCCCTTGCTGTCAGGCCAGGATTCCTGGGGGCTGTTGCTGGCCCTGTCCAATAACTGACTGACTGGCCTGATAATATTACCTGTCCAATTGCTAATAACTCTCGGTCCCTTCTCTGTGCCTCCATTTCCTCAGTAAGAGCAGCAGTTCTCCACCCTTGGAGAAGAAAGGATTTGAATATTTTTCAGCACTATAAGTCAATGGTCTTTCACTACCTCCTGCACAGCAAAGGGGCTGACAGAGATGTGAGGGAAGCTGATACCAGAGGAAGTCCTCCAGGGAGCAGGGGCAGACGGACGGCTGCTTGGTCACAACATAGTCCCGACCATTCTGGCAGACAGACGACTTGCGGAGCCGCAGGTACTGTTCTTTGTAGCCTAAGATGCAGCCGTCTCCGTAGTCTCCGGGGTCAGCAGAGTGAGCCAGCCATACGGTATAGTCCTTCTCCTCACCTAAAGGGAAGACAGGCTGTTCAGGCCACCGCACCCACGTGTGTGAGGCAGCTGCCCGGCTGAAAGGAGAGGAAGGACAAGAAAAAGGGGATGTCAGACTCATCCCACTGCCTCATTTTGGAACTGCAGACAAGAGTTACGTCAGTTGGAGCCTACTAGCATTGGCACCTCCTCGTGTCAGAGGAGGACATTTCACATCTCACCGCCCGTTTGAGTATTAGGAAAAAGCTTATTTGCTTCAAAGTGGGCAGCTGGATGGAGGACCTCTAAGCTTCCTTCCACATGGAGAGACTGCTGCCTCCATGTCTTGCACACCTGTGCTGTTGGTCAGCAGGAGCTGTCACAGGTAAGCAACCAGGCGTTTCCTTTCAGGAGACAGCAGTTAGCCAAAAGCTAGGGTTCAGTTTCACCACTCGTTAGTTTGCCTCAAACAGAAGGGAAGACAATCTCTTTCTAGACTTTTAACTTCAGATGACTGGCTTTCACGTAGACTGCTGATGACAGTCAATCCAGCTTTGTAAGTCGTATCACTCACTCCTGGAGAAATGACTCAAAGGCCATGGCCTAGACTGTGGATTAGGGTTTTATCCTCTGGGATACGAAGACCAGCGCAGAGTCTGTTAGGGAGCAGGTGTCTACCAAATCTTTTAATGGCGTTAAACTTCAGGGATAACTGTAGAGCTGCCTTCTGAGGGGAAAACTCACAAGCCAGCTCCTTCACAGCCTATTTAATGAATCTGGATATTAAATAATGACTCTCGGGTATTAAATCATATGTAAACACCTTGTAGAAAAGGCCCAAACAGTGCTTCTGCTTCCTCCAGGAGTCACTAAACTAACATTCTGAGGAAACAGACCCATTGTGCCATCTAATAACAGGACCAAAATTCAAACAAAGCTACTTGAAACCTTAAGTCTTTTATCATAACATGCCAACAAGAAACCACGGCTCGCAGGGTGGGAGACTTTTCTCCAGTTTTCTCTTTTATCCTCCGTATTTTTCAGTACAGTGTCAGCATCTTTGGTACTGGGGCCTGGGTCTGCTTATGATTCTTTAGCAACACCTTGCAATGAGCATTTTACCTCCTTTTCGGAAGCCATTTTCCATGCTTCTAACATGCCTTCCAGTCTGACATCACAGAACTCTGAAATGGTCAGTGTGGGCTTCGAGCTCACCCAGTAGCCATTCTAGAACCTCACCTGTGACTGACATTCAAGCCAAAACTCTTTACACGAATACTTCCTCACTTCAACGTTTTGATAATCAGATGCTCTATGCAACACACTTTCCTCTAATGCTTCTCTTACAGTTCTGCTGCAATCAAGGGTGAAAAGCCCTGAAATGTCATGAAATAATTTTAGATAAACACAAGGACGCATTATCCTTACAAGCAGAAAAAAGTCCCATAAAGTGTTACAGAGCTTCAACAGTGTGAGGCCACGCTTACAGCCTTAGCCACACACGGCTGGTCTGAAGTGAGATTTACTCTAAGGGTAAGGGTAAAGTATACACTGGATTTTGAAGTCTTAGAAGAAAAATATAAAATATTTCACTGATAGTTCTTTTTTTTTTTTTAATGTTATTTTTTGAGAGACAGAGCATGAGCAGGGGAGGGGCAGAGGGAGAGGGAGTCACAGAATCCGAAGCAGGCTCCAGGCTCTGAGCTTTCAGCACAGAGCCAGACATGGGGCTCGAACTCACAGACTGTGAGATCATGACCTGAGGTGAAGTCGGGACGCTTAACCGGCTGAGCCACCCAGGGGCCCCACATTGATAGTTCTTAACACTGCCTACATATTGAAATGATTTTAGGGGGCGCCTGGGTGGCGCAGTCGGTTAAGCGTCCTACTTCAGCCAGGTCACGATCTCGCGGTCCGTGAGTTCGAGCCCCGCGTCAGGCTCTGGGCTGATGGCTCGGAGCCTGGAGCCTGTTTCCGATTCTGTGTCTCCCTCTCTCTCTGCCCCTCCCCCGTTCATGCTCTGTCTCTCTCTGTCCCAAAAATAAATAAACATTGAAAAAAAAATTTTTTTAAAAAGAAATGATTTTAGGTATAGTAAGATGATTATTTTATATTATTATTAAAGTGAATTTCATCTCTTTTACTTCTATAATGCAGCCAACAGAATAATTTAAATTGCACATGTGGTCCTCATTTTATTTCTTTTGGACAGTGCTAGTCCAAAGAAGGAAGCTGCATTTCTGATACCATTCATTGCATTGCCTTGAACATCCCTCAATCCTCTTTCATATGCTTTTTTTTTTTAAAGTAGGCTCCATGCCCAACGTGGGGCTTGAACTCATAACCCTGGAATCAAGAGTCATGTGCTGTACCGACTGAGTCAGCCAGTGGCCCTCATATGCATTTTCTTATTCCAGCTAAAAGAAATGAAACTGAATTATTAGGAAAATAGGCTTATATGTTCTGGTAGAAAAGGTCAAAGGAGACTCTACTCACAGTTCCTTTCAAGGACATCTTTAAAATCAATGGTATAGGAGACCCACTGGCGGGTCAGGAAAGATTCTGTGAACCCCCATATGCTGATATTCATGGACCGAGCTCCAGGTTCTGAAGCTAGACCGGTAAAGTAGATGGGCTCCTTGGTGAACATGTAGGTTTGCCAGCACTGACCTTCATCTGTGGAGAACCTGAAACCACAATTAGAGAACAGTCGTGACAGAGGATCAACATGTATGGGAGTATCAGGAAACTACTCTGGTTGTTTGATCCCAAACCAGAGAAAACCCTCATACTTATGTCATGGCTTAGTGACTGATAACTATATAAACTTTTAATGCCCACAGATAACAGGGTAGGTAAAAGAGATTCATTCAAAGAATATAGAAGAAAATGCCTTTATAAAAATTGTTTCAAAGGAAACAGAGGGTAGCGACCCATGTACAAAGGGGCTTCTGAATAAACATACAAAATTATTTTAGAGAACTTATACTTAAGGAGTAATTTTCCATCCAAAGTGCTTAAATGTTTCTATATGATTCTTGTGGAGAGAAAGAAGAATTATTTATTTACTTACTTATTTAAAGAGAGAGAGAGAGAGAGAGAGAGCGAGCGTGACCGCACACATGTGCAAGCCACGGGGAGAGACAGAGAATCCCAAGCAGGCTCCATGCTCGTTGCGGAGCCTGACTTGGGACTCAATTCCATGACCCTGGAATCATGACCTGAGCTGAAATCAAGAGTCAGACGCTCAACGAACTGAGCTACCCAAGTGCCCCAAAAGAAGAGTATTTTTAAAAAGTGACAAAAAATGTTAGCTAGAGGAACTCAGAAGAAAAAGCAAAGATACTGAATGTGGGTTGCTCTAGATGCAATCCTTTCAAGAATGTTCCCTACAGTTCTTAGAATGCACAAATTTGAATCAGGGTCCATAACTATCCCTACCTCCCACAGAAAAACATCCCACAGTTGCCCTCCATGCAGATAGTGTGGGTGGAGCAGAGCTCATGCATACTTAATCACATTGATAGGATGGCTGCTGTGCTCAATGGCCACAATGATGCCTCCGGAATCCAGGATGGTATAATAGTGGGGTCCTTCGAGCATCTTCGTCCAGGAGTAACCCCCATCATCTGAGATGTACACATCTGGGATCATCACTGAAATGGCATCCCCTACACTACCTGCAACACAATCCGCCATCTCGTCAGCAAAAATCAGCAATGAAACGGAGAGGGTTTACTGCCAAGAGAATAATTTTCAGTGAATTTACTCTGATTATTTCCCATCATACCTCTTGTAATAGGAAAAAAAGGCCACTGAAAAGTTGGGAAAGGAAGTCATGTTTCTCTCTCTGATGGGGAGTCTAATGAAAAACCCAGAGTATCATTATTATTCGAGAAATTTCACAAAGGATGGTAAACATCATGTATGGTGGTTTTCTTATAGGATTCAAGGCTGTGGCTGAGTTTTAGTGTGCTCAGCTACTTGCTCCTGTGGAGATGGGGGGCGGGCTGCTCACCATGGGCAATGACTATGCCGACGGCCTTAGGCTCTGACAGTGGGGCCATTGGAACGTTTAGTTTCTGGGAGATGCTGTAGGAAGCGTGAATATGAAGGCTGCACTGTGAAAAGAAACCAAAGCTCAGATTAAAACCAAAGGTGTAAATTTTTAATCATCTCACAGAGCCTTCTAAGAAAGCTTTGAATTTAACCCAGACTTCAGCGGGATACTCTCTTAAAAAAAAAATTGTGGTAAAAAATACATACCATAAAAGTCACCATCTTAACCATGTTTAAGTGTACAGTTCAGTGGGGTTAAGTACATTTATACTGTTGTGCAACCATTACCACCATCCATCTCCAGAACTTTTTCAAACCAAAACTCTACACCCATTAAACAGTAACTCCCATTCCTCCTCCTTCCAGACCCTGGAAACCACCATTCTACTTTGTTTCTATGAACCTGACGATTCTAGGTACCTTATATAAGTGGAACCACATAGTATTTGTCTTTTGATGACTGGCTTATTTCACTTAGCATTATGTCCTCAAGGTTCATCCATGTTGTGGTATGTGTCAGAGTTTATTGAAGGCAGAATATTATTCCATTGCATGTATATGCCACATTTTGCTTCTCCGTTTATCTGTCAAAGGACACTTGGGTGGCTTCCAGCTTTTGGCTACTGTGAATAATGCTACTATGAACATCGACATGCAAATATTTCTTCGAGACCCTGCTTTCGTTTGGATATATACTCAGAAGTAGGATCGCTGATCATATGGCAGTTCTGTTTAATTTTTTGAGGAACCGCATACTGTTTCATACAGTGACTGCACTATTTTTCATACCCACCACTGACGCACAAGGATTCCAACTTCTCTACATCCTTGGCGACACGTTATTTTGTTTCGTCTTGTTTTTGATAGTAGCCATTCTAATGTACATGAGAGGCGTGAGAGGTGATCTCTCCCTGTGGCTCTGATTTGCATTTTCTTAATAATTAGTGATGTCAAGCATCTTTTCATGTGAGTTTTTGGCCATGTATATATTTTCTTTTTTTTTTTTTTTAAGCTTGTTTATTCTGAGAGAGAGTGAGTGAGCACAGGAAGAGCAGAGAGAGAAGGAGAGAGAGAGAATCCCAAGCAGACTCCTTACTGTCAACATATGAGATCATGCGGGGCTCGAACTCATGAACCGCGAGATCATGACCTGAGCTGAAATCAAGTCAGACACCTAACTGACTGAGACACCCAGGCGCCCCTTGTATATTTCCTATACAGAAATGTCTACTCAAGTCCTTTAACCATTTTTAATTTGGGTATTTGTTTTTTCTGTTGTTGAGTTATGGTCTCAGTGGGATATTCTTGATTCCAAAATAGATTAGTATATCTAGGAGCAAATTATGCAATTATTTTCTCATGTGTAATGCTTAGTTTATTTTATTCCTGCATTACACCGAAGCCTCTGATCAATATTTAAAGCGTGAATAAAAAACATGAAAATAAAAATAAAGCATGATTCCACACAAATAAACTTGATGAAAACCTGACATACTTCAGATACCGTACAAGATGTGGTGCTGATTCAAAGTAAGACCCAGTCCTGTCTTTAAGATTTCTGAGAAACCAGTTGAGTTATAAAGCACAATGAAAGTTAATGTTTTAAAAGAGGTCTGTGTTGGATAAAATGTTCATTTTATGTCATATATTTTACTGCAGTAAAAAGGGGTTCACACAAACTACGGACGACATGAAGAGGCAGGATTAATTCTAGGTGAAGATGGGCCCTCAGGATGATCAGGATTTCCGCTGCTTCTAATGGCTCAGGACTGGGAGAGTCAGGCATAAATTTCCCAAGAGTCACGTGGGCAGCACCACAGAGGCAGGAGCGCACGTAGGGGGTTCAGGGGGCAGCAGAGGGCTACAAGGAACATGCCAGTGATCAGATGGACAATGACAATGAAAAGGCAGAAGAGAGCCTGACAGGGGAGGAGAGGACCTTCACTCACCAGGTCAGAGGCACAGACTTTATTCACAGGCAAAGGGGAACCCTGAAACGTACTGAGGAGGGAAAGGCATGGAGTGTGAGAGTGGCCAGGCAAGTAAAGAGGCCACTGCACTGCCCAAGGCTCAAGGTGAAGAGGGCAGGCACAGGGCAAGACCACGGTAGAGGGATGGAAAAAAAGGGGAAAGGAGAAAGGGCACCGGGTGGTACAGGTACACTATCTTACACGGTCTGAGGCTCTTAAAAGGAAACAAAAAGTCCCGCCTACAACAGCAGAGTGGATATCGGCCACAGGTATTCTGAGAAGAGCTCGGGAACCACCAACACTGTCATTTTTTGAGGAAAACTCCCAGGGTTCCCCGAAGCTCTTCTCAAACTCTGTAACATCCAGACACAAGACTTGTTTCTCTTTTCTTTTTTTCTTGTCTGTCCAGACCCATCACTCCTGGAACCTGGGATCTCCTGGAGCAATGCCTTTGTAGCTCTATTCTTAGCCTCTCCTCAGAGGGGCCAGTTCTGGCATTCATGGGCCCTACCGTGTCACCATCCACACCCTCTGGCTGTGTGGAGCCCAGGCAGAGGGGAAGAGAAGGCCAAGTTCTCTTCTGTTTGTTTCTGGCCAGCACGGCTTTGCACTGCTCATGAATGGCTGGTCCCCGGCGTCACATAGAATTCCTTAAGTCTCATAGTTGCCATGCTGACTCTTAACTGATCACCGGCCCATCCTTTGTTCTGTTTTCATTCAGTGGTTTAGTAAAACACAAAATTTTAGCCTTTAGTTTTGTTTTTCTTTAAAAGACAAATAGTCCATAGTATTTTGGCTTTTCCTTTTCCTACATTCTACATTACTTTCATTACTCTGATTTCCAAACTTTCCACCTGTAGCAGCTGTGGTCACTAATCAAGTACAAAACTTCATTATTCAAAGGCCTGAAACCGATCAGAGCAGGACACAATGGCTGCACAGGACACATGGAGTAAGACACACCTCATTCTTGTTTTTGGCTGTAGCATCACATTCACTGTTTTCAGGCTTCCTCAGGTGCTTCCACCTTCCTCCTTGGTCAAAAGTGATCATAGTCTGGATAGAGTTATCTGAATGGGAAAAGAACAGTCTTAAGTCTGATAGACCGGAAGTACCTTATTAAATTCAGTTTACCATGGCATCTCTCGCTCCTGGGGCTACATAATGCCATTAGAACTCTAGAGTCCTACAAGCTTGTAACATCCAACAAAACAGCTCAGTGTTGGTGAGTAACTGAGCAGCACTCTATGCTATTTGAAGAAGGCTTCCCACCGGAATAGGACTCAGCTGATTCCAGAAATCATCTAAACTGATACTCTTGAAAAAAATATCTTTTTTCTCCTTACCAACACAAACAGGTTAATGTCCATTCTCCTTCCTTGCTTGCTTGCCTTCAAGGTAAAATCTACAATGGGAAGGCATCCCAATCTTTACTCGGATAAGGCCAGGATACCAGGCTTGTTATAGGGACTCTCAAGATTTGAATGTATGTGCCTAAGTCTGGCTCAATAATTCCTAATTTTCATCTTTCCACTACCCCATACCCGATCTCTCCTATACCTTTTCTTTTTTTTCTACATGCTCTTCCCTGTTCTCTATTCTTAATGACATAAACTATTGCAAGTTTAAATTCAGAGACAATATGCTTTGAGTTTCCCAAGGAAAATCAAACAAGAAAGCAAATGAAGGACAATTCATTTAGTCAATAAATATTTATTGCACGCCTACTATGTGAAAACTGTTGTGAGCCTTCGGGACTATCTCAGTGAACAAAACAGAAATAAAACTTGGTGAATGTACATTCTAGCAGGGTCAGACAAACGCCAGACACTGTAAACAGGTAAATTATATAGTATGTTGGAAAATAAGTGCCATGGAAAATCCTGCCCTGCTAAAGAGGGGCTGAGTGTGTGTGTGTGACTAGGGGAGGGCAGACAAGCTCCCAGGGGGACAGTCATGGCAGGCTCTATGGCTCTATGGCTCTATGGCTGCTCTATGGCTCTATTCATATTCATATTCAGAAAGCAACATATGAGCACAGATTGGGAGGAGGATGGTGTCAGCCTTGCAGATATCTGGGGAAACAGAGAACAGTCCCTGAAAATCTCTAAACCATGCGTGTGTGTGCCTGGTGTGTTTAACGACTGGCAGAGGGCTGCAGTGACCAGAATGCAGTGGGTGGAGGGGAGAGGGGTGGGAGGAAACGGGTCAGTACTGCTTAAGACCTTGCCGACCACTGCAAGATCTTTACCAATAAAAACAACCTCTCACCTCCCACCAAAAAAAATAAATACATCTATAAACAAAACCTTAAGAGTCTTTGTACTTTAGAGTGACGTGTTTATTTGTATAACTGGGCCTTAGCAAAGGTGAGCTCTGCAGAACCTCGGAGCAGAACACCAGAGGAACGCTGGCCGGCTACAGCTGTGCCTTCTACAAGGAGAAAAGCAGGAAGTGGTTCAAACTCAGGCTCATTCCTCTAGGCCTAAACCTCCCAATATAGAAAACTCATTGCTTTCATTTATTTAAAACTTCCTCTACACAACATAGAACCCAAAAAATCTTTCTTTCTATCTGCTGCTGCTTTGCTCTTTTTAGTTCTATTTACCATAACTGATGTAAAATGAAGAGCCAGTATTGACATGGATAGGCTTGCCGGCTAGGCAAGCAACAGTACTGGGGGGACAGGACCACCATTGTTTCTGAAAGTCTCGACTCCCAACACTTTCAGCTGAAGGACAGCTGTGCCCAGACTTACCTTCTGAGAGTACACTTGTTATGTAGACCCCGCGGAGGGAGGTCACATTGGTAAAGTCCGTCTCGCCACCTGTGGTGGTGTAGAGATGTCGGTCCAAGGACTTGGAATAGACAATGCCTCGATCATCTGAGGTAAAGATTGTGCCAAATCCGGTATCTGAAATAGGCAAACAAACAAAAACAGTAAGTCTTGTGGGGAGGGAACAGAGAGAAAAACAACAGTCCAACCATACACATGACTAAATGGCTGACTGACTGCATACATTAGCCAACTGTCCCTCTTCATGATGTAGGCAGAGACCTGAGCATTAATCATGGTTTGATACTCATGATTTTCATGTCCACCTTTAATTCTACTACCCAGCTTGGTGCCTGGAGTCTGGTAGATACTGTTTGTTGAATGAATTAACCAGATGCCACAGAAAAGCCCTTCCCAGATATATTCTGGTGGCAGAGGCAATACACTTAGATTTATATCATACATACCTCTAAATCTTTATATTCTAAACCAATGCTTCTTGAACTATCTGTGGTGAAGGATCAATTTTTTTTTTTAAGTTTTATTTATTTAAGTAATCTCCACACCCAACATGGGGCTCGAACTCACAACCCCGAGGTCAAGAGTTGCATACTCCTCTGAGCCAGCCAGGCGCCCTGGTGAAGGATCAATTTTCAAATTTCTATTATGGCACAAACTGATCCTTTGTAAAGTATAATAAAAATTAATCCTAAGAAGAGTGAAATACAAAATCTAATCCTCAATGTTTTAATGATTAGATTCAACAGATGTAAAATTACTTTGTCAAATGGTAAGAGGAGTTTCTCAATGTTTGCTATTGCTTTAGTGCTTACTTGGCAACAAAGAGCTTGCAAACCGTATAGCACCGGTCCTCCGACCATTCTTTGAGCAGCACTGCTCTAGAATACTTGGACATACACATAAACCACATTCTAGAGCCAAAAGAAGGGGCCTTCTTAACAGAGACTACACAGTATCTCTAAGACAGAGTATTCAGTAGGACACTAATAAAAACCTAGGGGTAAGACGAAATGTCAACACGTAAGAAGGAAGCTCAAAATAGAACTTGAAGTTTAAATCTCTATGCGTTCAAGGGTGGGCCACTAAAAAAAGCTCTTACCTCCAGGTTCATCTACATGCATGAACACCATGTCATCATTAGCTGCTAGAATAGAATAGAACTGTTCCTGCCCCACAGAAGGTAGCTGGGCCATGCTCCACGTGTCCCCTTGATCTGTTGATACATGAATCCTTCTCGTTGTATCCTGGAACAAATAGCAATATTTAACTTTTCAATTTTCCACCAAGATGTCATGTGCAGGGACATGAATAGGAACATTATTATTCATAATTGTAAGTCTCACTCTCCATTTCCTCACTGGGTACAATCGTTATAAATGACACGTCCTAGTACCAATTACCAAAACAATTTCTTAAATTTTTTTTTGTTTATTTATTTTTGAGAGAGAGAGAGCACGAGCAGGGAAGGGTCAGAGAGAGAGGGAGACACAGAATCCAAAGCAGGCTCCAGGCTCCGAGCTGTCAGCACAGACCCCGATGTGGGGCCCAAACCCACAAGTCGTGAGATCATAACCTGAGCCAAAGTTGGACACCCAACCAACTGAGCCAGCCAGGTGCCTCACCAAAACAATTTCTAACCCCTAGCAAAGTTCCAGGCAATGGAACAATCCATTCTATTGTAAGCAAGGCTATCTTGGCTTCCTCTTTGGCTTCTTCATTCTGGTATGGCCCTGTATGATGTAATTCTCCCAACCTCTGACATTCCCATTTTCTTCAATAGAGCTAAGGGTATGATGGGGTCGTCTTTAGTTTGGCTTTACAGCCATTTGCTATGCTTGTTCAGATAATTCTTAAAATGATGATTACTGTACCAAAGTTAGGTCCCTCTGAGACAGTCCTAGCATAACCCAAAGAATGAGACAATTAAGAGTCTAGAAAATGGAGACGAAACTCATGCTTGGGAAATCACAGGGAAGTCAAGATGTGACACGTCTCCTCTTTAAGGAAGTCTCTCTAAACAGCCATAGTGAAGGGAACATGCACAGGCTAGGAAGAGGCCAAGGAGAGGCAGAAATTAATATAGGGGAGCTGATCAGGGAGTATTTATCTGTGAAAGGAGTCTGTTAGGTAGGCAATTAACACCTCCTTTCAGATAAATAGCTTAAAATAGCTACTAGACATAGTTAGCCAGGGCACAGGAATGAGTCCCAGGGCTTCCTTATGTTAAATACTCTTTAAAATTTAGTGACAAGTACATTTAACCTATCTCTAACTTATACCTAGATGTTTACTTTCGGTCTTACTCATTGTTACAGGTAGAAACTAGAATTAAAAAGCACACACTAGACAGTAGCAGTACAGAGTAGGAGGCTAACTCTGGAAGCAGTCAGTCTGATTTCCACCAGGGTTCTATCTCTGGGTGACCCTAAGCAAGTTACTCAATTTCCTCAAATACAAATTGAGGTGAGAGGCCAGCTCCTAGGGCTGCTGGGAAGATGATCACAAAACTGCTTGAGACAGTTATGTATAGTTACTGTGTCCACTTCCCCGTCTCCACTCCCCCTTTCTCTGAACCCGCTGTAATCAGCCCGTTAACCCCGGTGCTCTGATGAAAACACGCTTGTCCAGGTCACTGACAACTTCCACTTTGCCAACTCCAGTAGACAATTCTCAGGACTCATCTAATTACGTATTTTAGTTGAGTTTCACACAGCAGATCACTCCTCCTGCTTGAAACACTTTCTCCCCTTGGCTTTCGTGGAATCCTTGTCCTATTCCCCGCCTCCCTGGTCCTTCCTTCTCAGTCTTCTTTGCTGGATTTTCATCTCTTTCCAACCTTTCAGCATTACTAGGGTGCTCTGGCCCATGCTCAGGCCTCAAGAAGATAACATCTAGTCACATAGCTTTATATAATTTGGAGAGATTCATATACCCGAATGCTTACTCAACATTTCCACTTAGATATCTAGCAGGCATCTAATACCCAAAACTGAATTCTTGATTTCCCTCCCACAAACTTGGTTCTCTTGTGGTCTCTGCCATCTCAGTAAATGGTACCACCATTCACCCAGTTGCTCAGGCTAAAGACTAAAGTTATCCTGGGTTCCTCTCATTCCCTCACAATCCACATCTAATCCATCAGCAAATCCTACTGGCAACACGTTAACAATATATCCACACTCTTACCACTTCTTCTCTCATCCATGTTAATAGCCTGGTCCAACCTACCATCTTCTCTCACTGCTGTCATGGCCTCCCAGCTTCTCCTGGTTCTTCCATTCCTTCCCCTTGTCAGGCTGTTGGTTCCTGCACCTACCTATTCTGTCAAAAGAGCAGCCAACTTACACCATTCCCTTGCTAACAACCCTTCAGAGCTCTCCAACACATGAAGAATAAAAGCCATGCTCTTGGGGTGCCCGGGTGGCTCAGTTGGTTAAGCATCAGACTTTGGCTCAGATCATTATCTCACGGTTCAGTTTGTGAGTTCAAGTCCTGCATCAGGCTTCTGCTGTCAGCTTGGAGCCTATTTTGGATCCTCTGTCCCTCTTTCTCTGCCCCGCTCTGACTCACTCTCTCAAAAATAAACAGATTAAAAGAAAAACAAAAAAAGCCAAGCTCTTAATTGTGACCTATAAAGGCCATTGGCTCCCCCTCTTTGGTCCACCTTTCCCTGTGCTCCAGCCATGCTGCCCTTCTCACTGTTCTTCAATATTTCCAGCATGTTCCAATCCTAGGGTCTTTGTGCTTACTGTTTCTTCAGCCTAAATGTACACAGAGCTAAGTTCTTCACTTCAGTCAGGTCTCAGACAGCCCATCCAAACCACCCTATCTAAAATAGCACTGCTCCAGTTCCTAATGCATTCTATTGCCTTACTCAGCTATAGATTTCTTCATAGTTTTAATTGTTAACTGATATTATAATATCGTATTTATTAGTTTAGTGTCGATCCAATTCCCTACTTGAAAATAAGCTCTCAGAGCAGGACATTTATCTGTGTTGTTCACTGCTATATTCCTGGGACCTAGAATAGCACCTAGAATATAGGTGGTACTCAATTAATGTCACTATTTCATTACTGGATAATGAGCAAATGGGACTGCTTTTTTCAGATGCCCATGTCTGAGTAGAGTCCAAACACTGGGGCCATGCATCCCAGAACAGGTACCACAGGTCATGTGGTGACAACAGGCTGAGCTACAGAGTAGCCCTGAAGAATCAGTCAACTTCTAGGAAGACTCCCTCCAAATCTTAGTGAACGTTGCAAAAAAGGCAAGAAACTCTGTCAGTCCTAGCAGTAAAAGGGACTCGTTTGAGACATATTTACAGAATATTAGAAATCGCCAAAAAAAGGGCAATACCCACCTTATCAGCCATCACAGAGGCAAAAAGGAAACGTCCCCCAAGACCAAAGGAGTAGATTTTCACACCGATGGTTTTGAAGCTCTTCCCCAAGTCTGAAGTTCTCCATAATTCCAGTGCCCCAAGGTCAGCTTCTTAAACAAGACAAAATATTAATAAAAATTGCACATACTGGTGAGCCCCTAGTTCAAAACAACTGTTTTAGAATGTTCTTAATTTTATAGCTAACGGATTTTTAATCTTATGCATGTTAATCAAGTAGCAATATGAAATAACACAGCATTAGGCATAGGAAATTAACATGGGGTTTTATTTTTATACAGGTGAGGTTTTGCACTGGATAGAAAGATAAAGCTTACTTAATTAAAATACAGTGTTATATAAACGTGTCACAGCCACAGCATCCTGTTTTGCTTTCTTCATGCTTGGAAACAATCTTATTTTATTTTAAGTAGTCTTGAGTTTCTGGTTTTCTTGCTGATCATCTAACACCCCTACTGGAATTCAAGCCCCATGAGAGCAGGCCTTGGGTGTCTTGCTCTCTCCATCCTTAGAACGGTGATTGGCACACTACTGCAGGTGCTCACATGTGAATGAATGGATAAATGGAATGGATTTGTTGAATGAATAAATGAAGGATTGTTTTCTGCTTTGAAATGGTGCCATGGACTGGACAGCTAACAACTTCCACCAACACAAACAAAACCTCCATGTTCTTTTGCAGAAATCACTATCCACTTCAACTTGTTACTGTTTGTAGTCTAATATTTACTTTATGTATAAGCGTTACTAAAATTAAGTATACTGCTTCTGTGTGTGGCTTGCATTTTTATTTGATCTAGGCTCAGTGCTTTTAAAATTTGAATCTGGTTGTAATTTCAAAATTTTAAAAATCATTGCCAGTTATCTTTAGCTATTAAAATCAAGGACAATGGAAGGATCTTTGATGTTTCTACTTCTTACAACCATGAGTGGACAACAGGACACTCTTATTTGGGACTAAAATATACTTACTGCAAGAGCCGTTTGCATAGGTGGTAAAGAAGATGGTGTTTTCTGACCCCCTACAAAGAGGCAAAGACAGAAAAGACACAGTTCAAGACTGCTGTCAACTGCAGTCACGAGCTCCAGGCAAGTCTACTAATGACACACTGCATCCGCAGGCGCCAGCTGAGACAGCTTTTGGGGATGCTGCATGCCAGACTCTCGCAGCCTCGCTGGTCAAGGCTCCCCCCAGCCCGGCCCCAGGATTTTCCCCAGTCCACTACTTCTTCACGTGGACTCTTTCAGCGGGTCAGACTGGCCTACTTACTCTGTCCAAATCTGCCTCTTGCGTTTGCTGTTCCTGTTTCTGGCTTAAAATGCTTTTCTCTCTCATGTAACCAAATCTTACCCTCACAATCTTTAGGCTCCAGCTTCAAATTTAGCTCTTCTCTTTTTTTTTTTATTAAAATTTTTTTCTTTTTTTTTTTTTTTAATTTTTTTTTTCAATATTTATTTATTTTTGGGACAGAGAGAGACAGAGCATGAACGGGGGAGGGGCAGAGAGAGAGGGAGACACAGAATCGGAAACAGGCTCCAGGCTCTGAGCCATCAGCCCAGAGCCCAACGCGGGGCTCGAACTCACGGACCGCGAGATCGTGACCTGGCTGAAGTCGGACGCTTAACCGACTACGCCACCCAGGCGTCCCTAAAATTTTTTTTCTTAATGTTTATTTACTTTTGAGAGAGAGAGAAAGAGCATGAGCAGGGGAGGGGCAGAGAGAGAGAGAAGGGGACAGAGGATCAAAGCAGGCCCCACGCAGACAGCAGAGAGCCTGATGCGGGCCAAACCCATGACCCACAACTCATAACTGTGAGATAATGACCTGAGCCAAAACCAAGAGTCAGATGCCCAAATGACTGAGGCACACACGCGCCCCCAAATCTAGCTCTTCTATGAAATTTTTCCTGGCATTCCAACTGGAAAGCTTCTTTGCTGCAAAATTCTGGAACAGTGATTCTCAACTGGGGGCAATTTTGCGCCCCCGGGTCATTTCCAGTGGTCACAACTGGGGGATGGGCAGTTGTTGCCAGTATCTAGTGGGCAGAGGCCAGAAATGCTGCTAAACACCCTGCGATGCAGAGGCCAGCTCCCCCACAACAAAGAACTGTCTGGTTCCAAACGCCGTTAGCACCAAAGTTGAGAAACCTCGTTTCAGGGCACTGTGCTACTCTGTGCCAACCGCTCGGCATTCCTTTGTCTCCTATTTAATTATCTTAATCCACCAGTTTATGTCTTCTCTCTCCTATTACATTATCGCATTCTTAGGACAGGTGTGAAGTTCTGTGCTCTGTTGTTTCCCCTCAGAACCAAGTTCCATGCTTTGCATGTGCTAAGTAACTTAGTTCTTTCATCTCAAATAGACAGCAAGGTCAGAGGTTGAATTATTTAAATTCGAACTTGGAAAGGGAATTTTCAGGAAAGTTGATTCAGACCCTGATGGTACTTCTAGATCAGCACCAGCGGAAGGTGTCAATTCAGACCCTGAAGGAACTTATCAACCAGCACCAGCAGAAGGTGCTGGGTCTGAGCACGTTCCTTTGGCACTGCAGGCTATCAATTCCTAGAAATCAAACATCTAAAAGGTGAGGTAACAGTGGCCAGCAGACCAGTTATCCTATATTTAGACACTAATCAGAAAAACGAGTTACAAAAATAAAAAATATTATACAGAATACAAAATACCTTTCAAAAATAAATTTTTACCTTTAACAAATTTTTAAGTAATCTCTCCACCCCATGTGGGGCTCAAACCCATAACATGGAGATCAAGAGTCACATGCTGGACCAATAGAGCCAGCCAGGCACCCCTTAACTTTCACTTTTAAAGATGAGTTTTCTGTTTGTTTCTTTGAACTCTGGAGGTATAACTGACAACACTTAAAGTGCACACTGTGGTGATTTGATATACATATGTAAAGGTGAGTTTATGGTTTCTTTTTTTTTTTTTAATGTTTTTTTCTTTTGAGAGGGAGAGAGGGAGGGAGGCAGGAGGGAGAGCGAGAGAGAGAGAGAGAGAGAGAGAGAGAGAGAGAGAGAGAGAGAATCCCAAGCAGGCTCCACGCTCAGCCTGGAGGCCAATGTGGGAGCTGGAGTGTGAGATCATGACCTGAGCCTCAATCAGTAGTTGGATGCTCAACTGACTGAGCCACCTTGGAGCTCCCATAAAAGTGAGTGTTAATGACCAAAATTACTAGAGTCTTACTATAGTAACACCCTATGTACTTTAGGTCCATCAAGAGTGAAGCAATCTGTTAACTTAGTTACTTTAAAAGTTACTTCCTTCCAGGGGTACCTGGGTGGCTCAGTCGGTTGAGGTGACTCAGCAGAGAGCCTGCTTGGGGTTTTCTCTCTCTCCCTCTGTCTCTGCCCCTCCCCTACTCACTCTGTCTCTCTCAAAATAAATAAACTTTAATAAATAAATAAATAAATAAATAAATAGCTAGCTAGATAGATAAAAGTTAGTTCTTTCATGATAAGACCACATAAGGCACAAACACAGTTCACTGAAACACACACAGTGAATGGGGTGCCCGGGGGGCTCTGTCAGTTCAGCATCTATTGATTTCTGTTCGGGTCATAATCTCACAGTTCGTGAGATCGAGCCTTGCATTGGGCTTTGTGCTGACAGTGTAGAGCTGGCTTGGGATTCTCTCTCTCCCTCACCTGCACACGCGTGTTCTCTCTCAAAAATAAATGAATAAATATTAAAAAAAAAAATAGAACAAATGTAGATGTGGCATGTGTCCCTTGGTGGTGCTGTAAAAACCTCATGTAACCAGTGTTTCCTGGGAAAAGGCCATTTTATTCAAGCGATATTTTTTAATACTTTAATTTTAGTAGATATATTTAGCAATGTCTCTATTACACATTTCCCTGACTCCCTAAGTCGAGGACATTAAATATGAAAGTCTTCCTTGGACTATGGGTCATCTTCACGAACATCAACCGCAGGAAACTGTAACACAGTGTTCCCATTAGAAGTCACTGAGGTACGTGTGCTCTCTTGATCTGGCGCCAAATAATCACATCCTGTTACAGCTTCTGTTTCTCTTGCTTTTACAGTCCCCCCACCTCCATGCAGCTCTCAGGCAGGGGATACGCAGGCTGGGTGTGCTTGCTCTTGGTGTTCACACACCCCACCTCTGGCACCAATCTGCTATCCACAGGGAAGCTACATTAACAAGTTTGTTGAAATTAGTCAAAGAGAAGGAAGAAAGAGGTTCTAAACAGGGGAGTGAGCCTAATCAGAATTTGGGAGGTATGAAGGTTTTTAACACAATTCTTGCTCAACAATCTCCCAAACTCCCCCAGTAAATCTCCTTTCACAAAAGCCAGAGGTTAAGCCGCTGACTAGCCAGTTAGGACAAAGGTGATCTGCTCCTGAGTAAGAACTCCTCCACTGCATCATCTGGCTTTTTTTGTTGTTGTTGTTAATGTTTGTTTATTTTGGAGGGAGAGAGACAGAGTGCAAGCAGGGGAGGGGCAGAGAGAGAGGGAGGGAGACACATAATCCGAAGCAGCTCCAGGCTCTGAGCTGTCAGCACAGAGATCATGACCTGAGCAGAAGTCAGATGCTTAAGCAACTGAGCCACCCAGGCACTTTTTTTTTTTTTTTTTTTGAGAGAGAGAGAGAGAATGAATGAATATGAGTGGGGGAGGGGCAAAGAGAGAGAGGGACAGAGAATCTGAAGCTGGCTCTTGTGTGCCGGCACCAGCAAGCCCGATACAGGGCTTGAACTCATGTCAGATGCTCAGCTGAGCCACCCAGGGGCTCCTCCTCCACTGCATCATCTTAAGCAGGCACTAGGTGGGGGTGGGGGCCCAGCAAGAGAAGTGAAGGATTTCTGGTGCACGGACAGTGTGACTCTGATGGCCTGGAAGCTCTCTGGGCTTTCTTCCTGAGTCCGTGCTACATTCCACACGACTGAAATGGAGCTCTACATGAGGGAATATAAATCTGGGCACAGGGAAGTACGTGAGTCCTCAACTCAAAGCTGTATTTTATACTTTCCAACTGATGTCACCATTAATGGAGACTAAACCTTTGCAGGCAGCAGCAACTCAGTCACGTGCCTTGTTTTACACTTTATACTTTATATTCTAACGTTTAGTGAGACTAAGTATTCTTCCCCAGCAGAATTAGAGGCTCCTCCAGGTCAAGATCTGGGTCATACCCCTTCTCTTGTATCCCTTAGGGCACCCTGAAGAGTACTTGGCACATGGTAAGTGCTCAATATTTACTCATGTGACTTTTGGCAGCCCTGTCAGGAAAGGTTTAGGGCTCTGCACAGATGGAGTCTTCTGTTACTCACCATTTGGCCAAACACACTGCTTTGTGGATTTCTTCCCATTTTCCCCCAAAATCCTTGGACACCCACAGGCCATTCTGAAAGATTATAAATGACTTATCAGAATTCCAGCTTTGTCTTGTGCAGCTGCTTATATGACCCTCAATAATTCATATGCAATCATTCAGGACAGTAAAAACACACACTGAAGCTCCATCCATAAGCTGTCTGCGCTATACACATGGTTTATGGCGGCCGTGTCAGGGTTTGGGAAGTTCAGAATGACAAGTGCTCGTGGAGTGCCCAGTACATGCCAGGCACTGTACCAGATGTGCACAGGAGACACAAAGACAAATAAGATACGCTCCCTGCTCTCAAGGAGTTCACAGTTTAACAAGGGGTGCAGATATGAAGTTTGACACAACGTGGGGGCGCAGATACGAAGTTTGATACAATGTGGTAAGTTACAGAAACACGGTCTCTGGGGTGAGAGTAGGGAGGGGAGGGGCAATGAATGAGAGATGGTTTGTGAAGACAGCTGAACTAATATTAAATAATGAACAGTGTAACCAAAAGAAGGAAAATGGGAAGATGGGATGTTATTGCACAAATACATCCCAGTACTAGTCAAGGCGAGTCAACATCACAGGGTGGGCAGGGAGCTAAAAGCCTTCAGACACTGATGGAGCACAAATTCCAAGGTGAGGAAAGAAGGACTAATGCTTGGAAGAAAGGTGTGGGTCAGCTCACAGAGGGCCCTCAGTTTTACTTTTTTAAAGGTGGAGTACTTGGATGGCAATCGGAAAGGGGTGGATTTCTGTTCAGAAGCAGGAAAAGTAATGAAAAAGTAGTGCCACATTAGTTCATGAAGAGTTACTGAGGCCCTACACCACAGCTATGAGGAATAGGCTCCAGAATCTAGAAACTAGATTCAGTAGAACTGGGTGATTTTTCCTGTAAGGCAGAGAGAGAGAGAGAGAGAGAGAGAGAGAGAGAGAGAGAGAGATCTTTAGCAGTATAGAGGGGCAGCAAGATAGGAATCTGAGCCTTGAGGAAGCCAGAAATATGGATTTGAGAGCCTTATACATTAATTACAGTGGCAGTTAAAATGGTCAGCGTGGAAGAGATTGCTCACAGTGAAATGAGCAGTAGGGACTCAAGGGTAGGTTGACAGGAGTTTACGAAAGAGACCAGGAAGGAATGGTTAGAAGGTAGGAAAGAACCAAAGGAATGAAGTCCTAAAAGCCAAGCCAACTGAGTTCCCAGAAGGCGAGACTGGCCAGTATTTTCAAATGTAGCAGAGACTTAGTAAGATTAAGATGGACAATGTCAGCTATATCGACAACACAAGCCTACTGGGCCCAGACCCAAAGGAGGCGGGACAGAGATGTCCTGGTGCAGCTGAGATTAAATGAGGATGGTCTGGGCAGAATTTACCCCCAGTGTTCTCCCACTCTCATCCACCATTCTTCCTTCTGTAACTTTTCCTCCTCTGGTAATGTTCACCTCCCAGCATTTCTAAGGTACCTAATTCTACTTAGAAATAGGTAAGGGTCTGATATCACCTGTTTTCACTTTAGTAGATATTGGTCCATCTTATCCACACTGATTATTTTTACTTCCTACTTATCCTTAACTGGAAGAAATTTGAGGTATAAAAGCAGACCGTGGCTACCTCTTCCTGAGGATAGCATGTTTCAATAATCTCAAGACACTTGGTAATGGTGATGAGGTGGTCAAAGGGGGGGCTGGTGATTCTGTCCATCCCTCTGGGGGTCTCTCTGCTCCCTTGAAGGGCCTATAGCTCAAGCTGCTGGAGGCCAACTTCCTGGAATTGTTGCATTAAGATCTGAAGCCTACCCAGCAGGGCAGTTTCCTTCCTCTGGCCTCCTTTGGCTAAACCTAACTTTGACCTTCCTTGAATCTTCCAGCCTTCCCCCTGCTCACCAAAGGCCCAGAACCCAGACTGCTCTTCCAGTGCCCTTCACCCTCCCTGTGCCAGCCCAGCTTGTCCACATTGATGGTCCAGTTTCTTCTCCCAGAATAGTCACCACAGCAATGGCTCTCAAATTTTAGTGTGCAGGCTCAGCCGCGAAGGTTGTTAAAAATACTAGCCACCTCACAACCAAAAGTCACTGATGGACTCTATCTGGATTGGGGCCTAGGAACTGCATATTAAACCAGTCTCCCAGGGGTTTCTATCTGATGTTGCTGGACATTAGAAATCAGAAATAAGATGAGAGAGAGCCGTGTAAATGTAAAGTATAATTATGATTATCATAGTCTAGCAACTCAGACACTTTGGGCCCTAAAAATCCATGCTACAGAAGACTGGTCCTCTAGGAAAGGAAAAGTGACACATGTTCCCCAGGGATCTTTCAAAAGAGAGGTGGGAGGGTCAGGGAGGGACACAGGTTTCTGGGAACAGTAGAGGAATGTGCTAGGGGATGCAGAGATTTAAGACTCTGGATAGTTAATACATGAGTATCAAAGACAGAAATCAATATGCTCTATATACTGGGAACTAACAAAAAAAAAATCATAAAAATGTGGTTTGGCCATAGCAAAGGAATAAGACCATCAGAAATTTGACAATTTATGCATGTCCCTTGCAGCATAAGAATGAATACATTAAACTGTTTTCTAGTTCGTTACTCTGATAGTACACATTTATTCACTTAAAAAAACTGGAATGACAGCTAGATAGCATACTTATCTGGACTAGATAGCACATGAAAATCATGCCCTTTACCAAATAGGAAAAAGATGCAAAAAATACATAATTAATGTCTTAAGAAGTCACTAGAAAGCAGTCCAATATAAAGAGCATATCCTACCCTCTTGCACTGTTGGTGGGAATGGAAATTGGTGCAGCCACTCTGGAAAACAGTGTGGAGGTTCCTCAAAAAATTAAAAATAGACCTACCCTATGACCCAGCAGTAGCACTGCTAGGAATTTACCCAAGGGATACAGGGGTACTGATGCATAGGGGCACCTGTACCCCAATGTTTATACAGCACTCTCAACAATAGCCAAATTATGGAAAGAGCCTAAATGTCCATCAACTGATGAATGGATAAAGAAATTGTGGTTTATATACACAATGGAGTATTACGTGGCAATGAGGAAGAATGAAATATGGCCCTTTGTAGCAACGTGGATGGAACTGGAGAGTGTGATGCTAAGTGAAATAAGCCATACAGAGAAAGACAGATACCATATGGTTTCACTCTTATGTGGATCCTGAGAAACTTAACAGAAACCCATGGGGGAGGGGAAGGGGGAAAAAAAAAACAAAACAAAAAAGAGGTTAGAGTGGGA